GCCCCATACTGCTGAAGTGCTAGAAAGAACATCTACAGAAATATCAACAACAACGAAAAAGAAGCAGCATGATCATTTTGCTGCAAGGTGTTTTGAATTCTTTAACAGTCACAAATGGCCACTGCTGTCAAAAGAGCACCGTTTCCCTAGTGACATCTTGGGACTGATTCATCAGGGGCTCTGAGGACACAGTGCCATAAGCTGAGTTACCAATAGTGTTTCTGGAAACAACACAATTTTCCTCAGATATCTCCTGTACCAGCCAGTTTCAAAATAATTAGCTGTTTTTAAAAGCTTTTTAGAAGCATTAAAGAGTTTTTATACCACCTCAATTTTACCGTATAGTACCTGGGATAGGAACTGACCTATGCATCCTTTAGACAACCTAAACATTTCACCTAAGTATTTCCTTTTCAAAACCAGAGGATAATTATCATTCAAACAGTTCTTTCAAGCGTCTGTATGGATGTTACCACTTTCCTAAGCATTTTAATGGTGCATTACAGAGGTCTGTCCTGGCAGACAGGAACTATGGCAGTTGACTTACCACAAGAACCAATCAAGCAATGCTTTAAAAAGCAAAACAAACCAAATTAAAATGCCACCTGCTTGTTTTGGCCCTATAGATGCATGAATATCACGCGCTTTTGAAGACTGCTGTCGGTTAGAAATGCCAGGAGCTTTTTTTCTGCCATTGCCTCACCTGTGAGCTTTTCTTGTCTTTGCCAGTGGCTTTTGGACACCCGTGGTGGAGCACTACCCCCCACTTGTTCCTTGATCTTCCCTCTGGCCCAATGTTTCTCAGTCTGTGACCTCCTGCAGATTGTGCGCTACTGTTTAGGCAGTTCTGAAAGGTAAATAAGAAATAGCAAGCCCAGTGTGAGTGGCTTAAATCCACTATATGGAGGAGATGGGCCCATCCTCAGTGCAGGAACTGTAGGGAAGTGCAATTTGGAAACCTTAGCAGAAGTGCTACCACGCCTGCTTAGAACAAATTGTCACACACCCGGAGGTGTCCTGTGGATGTGACAAGCCAGAGATACCTGTAAGCAAAGTAAAAGTGGAAGTAAAAAACGGGGAACTGGATGGGTTAATCCCTTCCAAAAAGTTAAGGACTGCTTTAATAAATTAAGAAAAAAGTGAGACTGAACGTGCAGCTCCCTTTGCCAGAAGTGCATGTATTTAGTCATGGCATAAAGGCAATTTTATCAAATGTCTTTTTTTTGTTAAAGTATTTTGAAGATGAATAAGAGGAACCATGTACCTATCTGAAAAAGGTTTCCAAGAATGATCTGTGCCCTGCATTACCTGAAATGGGTTCTTCTGCAGCCTTAGTCAGATGTAAGGCAACAATTCTGCCTCCTGTGTGCAAGTGAAAGTGTAAGATGGCTGAGCTAGGGTTTTCCTGTTTTAATATCAAATACAAAAGTGAAACTGAATACTCCAAAAGTATTGAATACAACCTGAAAACAGCTGAATATAAGCTGAATACAACTAAGTGCAACCAAAATCATTCTGATCCGCTTTACCACTTTGGCAAATAGATGACATCTGGGTTGTTTGAGAGAAATGACGTATTTCTGAGCTGCCTTCCATAATCTTCCTGAAGTTGACAGTTGGCTTCCAGCAGATAGAGCTGAGCAATCACGCAATCATCAAAAAATTGGAATGAAACACCTCATGTATGTTTTGAGCTTGTATTTCTATTACTTACAAGGCTTTTATGAACGTTCCAAGATTTTGAGTAACTTCCAGATCTCCCTTTTCAGTCTTGGTTTGATATAGAACGTTGTGAAGCAAAGTAGCTTTGTGGTTAACCCTGTGGGGTTGTTCCAGAGGTCTGTGGAAACCTGGATCTGGGAAAAACATGGATAACACTATTGCTTCTAGACCCAAGATCAGTTGCAGTGAGCCCTCAAGACCCTGCAACTGGTTTTGGGGGACCTTAGCAGCCTGGGTACAGCTCTGACAGAAAATATAATATTTATTAATCACATGAGATGGAAATATGTGGCCATTTTGGTACCAAACCAGAAGTATTGCTCTGAAAAGCAAAAGAGGGACAGTAGAAAACAGTCAAACTAAGAATTTATAGCAGTAATCTAATTGACTCTAATGACTAGAGTAATGCCGTATATGATAAATTGTTAGTTTGAAAGACAGCTTGGAAAAGCACTCTTTTCACATGTTAAAAATATCTTATATTAAAATATCTTATATATGCACTGATGTCATCAAAAGGATTATTGCATGGATGGGGGACAGGCACAGGGAAGGAATTGTCTGCTTTCATAATACACTGCTAAGCAGTTTTCATAGTCTAAGGGCTCCTTGGAGCAACAGAGACTCAGAGAAACCCTCCTGCAGTGTGGAGGAGCTTTTTCCATTGCATAGTCCAACGAGCAGAGCTCACAGTGTGAGCTTTCATGTGTGCCATGAGTTTGTCCCGCAAGCGGTGCTCCAGATATCCACCCTACAACCAAACAGACTGTCTGAATGTAGACAGTCAAAGGATGAGACACCCGTAATGAAGCAGGCAGGGACCATAACAAATTATCAGCATAGATATACCCTTGGGAATGTGTTTTGAAGAACAGAGAAACTTTGAACAGAGTCCAGCCCAGACTTGACCCAAGCATCTCAACCTTTCATGTTCCTCAGAAAATGTTGCCCTGACCCCAAGGCAAAGTCAAACAGATTTGCCATCCTGGAAATCAGAGAGCAAGCCACAGTAACTGCATCACTCTTGTGAATACTGTGTGTGAGTTGGCTTTCCTCCTTCATTTTGTACTGTCTTGAGATATAATGTCAAACCGAAGGAGGAAATGAAGCAAGGTCTAAGGTTGTGTCTACACTACAGTTAATTGAGGGGGGCAGCTGGCATTCAGACATGAGCACCTGGATTTGTTTGCCATAAAATCCTCTACAGAGTATTCCTACAGCCTCGCAATTTATGCTCTTACCCAAATGTGGGCACATCCCCCTGGGCCTCTCTACTGAGATCTCCTCAGATCCTTTCACTGTCAGATATGAAATAATTTCCTTTTAGAAGAACTACGAAAAAGCATAGGAGGACTGTTCCTGCTTCCTCACTGCAAACCAATTGCAGTCAAGCCTCAGGTAATGCAGAGCATGATTTCTGAATCCATACCCCTCCAGCCTGCATTTAAATAACACCCTTAAACCAATGGGCCATTTTCTGTAAGAGCGAGCTGTGGCGAACTGCTCAGATTATCTAACATAGGTGAAAAGCCAGTTGCAGTTACAGCCCTCCAAAATAGCTACTGAAGCAATGGAGCATACCATGGGGATAAGGCAAACTAAAAATCTGGGAGGACCTAAAGGTGAAAAAAATTCTGGGATGACCAAGGGAGGCAGAAACTGCCATGTGCCATAGCATGAGGCTAGCGGAGACAGCGGTGCTGCCACCAGCCAGGCAGTTCCTAAGCAAAACAGAGGAGTGAAAGTTACAGTGACTTTCACCCTTCACTGTTCAGTGGCCTTCGTTTCCAGCCAAGGTGTGGCCCTGATGAATTTAAGCTTGGTAAGAATTGGCTGTTCTTACTCATTCTTCAAAGCTTTCTCTGGTCCTCTTGGAGTTTACAAGCCGCAAGATGGAAATCGCTGGACAAAACCAGGTAAATAAGCAAAACAAGAGATTTCTGTGTGTTATTACCTGTGTCACACATGCTGTATGGCTCGTGACAAGGATTCAAGCTAACAAAGGTAGTGGTTTTTACTTCCAGGATATATACACTAAGGAGCACAGTCCCTACCAGCTACCTCAGTCCTCTAGGCTCGAAGGAAGCAGAAACCAGGCATCACAGCTAAATCCCAGCATGCTGTCCCAGGTGCACGGGCAGCACAGGGGACAGGGAACGCAAACCTTTCCCATCTCTTGGGTGATTTTCAACACCAGCACTTGGGGAAGGAGTGGGGTACTTGCAAGTGCCCTGCAATTAAACCCTACGCTGTTCACTGATGTCGTTTCACCTGAGGGCATCCTGGCATCAGTGAAACACTTTTGATTTCCCTTGGGGTGTTGTTAAGCCTCCCAGAGTGACCTGGCTGGTGGCAGGAGCACACCGGTGCGGGGAGCAGCTGAGGACACATCCTGCCCCGCTGTGCCGGAGCTGCACCCTGCTATGGCCGGGCCCTGTGCCCCTCGGGGCCCGTGACCAGTCTCACAGCAACACAGGATGGTTTAGGTTGGAAAAGACCTTTAAGATCATCACGTCCAACCGCAGAGGTAGCACTGCCAAGCCCACCACTAAACTGTGTCCCTAAGCACCACAGCTACACATCTTTGAAATAAATACCTCAGGGATGGTAGACTGAAATGTTTCCCTGGGCAGCCTGTTCCAGTGCTTGACAACCCTTTCTGTGAAGAAATGTTTCTTAATAACCAACCTAAACCTCTCCTGGTGCAATGTGAGGACATTTCCTCACATCCTATGGCTTGTTACATGGCAGAAGAGCCTGACCCCCACCATGCCATCCCTGAGGCCACCGACCAGCCCCTCGTGCTCCTTGGGGCCCGTGACCAGCCTCACAGCAACACAGGATCGTTTAGGTTGGAAAAGACCTTTAAGATCATCAAGTCCAACCGCAGACCTAACGCTGCCAAGCCCACCACTAAACCGTGTCCCTAAGCACCACAGCTACACGTCTTTGAAATAAATACCCCCAAGGATGGTGCCTGAACTTCTGGTACAGCTTGAGGCCATTTCCTCTCACCCTATGGCTTGTTACATGGCAGAAGAGCCCGACCCCCCACCGTGCCATCCCTGCAGCCCCCCGTGCTCCCTCAGCCAGTGACCTCCCCGGGGGAACCAGGCCGCCACCGCTCCCGCTCTGCACTGTCACCCTGTCCCTACTATCGCGCCCTATCGCACACTATCGCGCACTACCCCCCCCCCCCAAGCGCTCCTCCCAGCCACCAGGGGGCGCTGTGAGCGCGCGGGGGGTGGGCTCGCGGCGCGGCCGTCCGGAAGCGACGCCGTTGTTTTGCTCCGCCATTTCCGTAGGTGGCGGCGGCGGCAGCCCCGGCTGCCATGGACATCCTGAAGCGGGAGATCAGCCGGAAGCGGCAGCAACTGGAGGAGAAGGAGCTTGTGGGGGTGAGGGCGGCCGGGCTGCGGCCCAGGAGCCGCCCGGGGCGGGGGTGGGGGGTCCGGAGGTGCCCGGGGCGGGGTTCGGGAGGGTCGGGGTGGCCCAGGGTGCTGGTCGGGCCTTGGGGAGGAGGAGTGGCCCAGGATGGGGGTAAGGAGTCCGGAGGAGTTTGGGGCTGGAGGGCACCGAGGAATTGAGGGCGCAGAAACAGCCTGGCTTGGGGTGTGGGGTGTTGCCTTTTGGAGCGGGTCTGGCCGTTTCTGTCAGGCACCGAGAGGGGAGAGAAGTCTGTGCGGCCGCCGGGGAACGATGTGTGGTTCCCTTTCCTCGCTCCTGCGGTGTTGTGCGCAGAGCAGTAGCAGGGCTGCAGGGGTGGGTGTGTGTGCCGCGTGTGTTAGCTTCAAAACACCCGCAGGAAGGCAGAGTGCTTTCGTGGGTGTCTGAGTTTTGGTTTTGGCGTCCGTGGTTGGGGTAGGGAGCTGTGACTGGAGGCTGTTGTAGGTCAGGCAGACGTTGGGTGAAGGAAGAAGGAATAGTTCTTATTAATGAAGGGAAATGGTTCAGGGTGACCACAGTTGCCATCTGTTGTGTGTCTGGAGGGTCTTATCAAACATATTTCTACATAGGTGAACCAGACAAGCTGACAAAATACTCAGTACAAAGGTGATTTCTCCCACTTCCTTGATTTAGTGTAAAACAATGTTTTGTATGGTTTATTTAAACAACTTTCCTGTACTCCAACCTGGACTTTGTTGTGCACATCTGAAGTGAAGCTTTACGCTTACAAGTACCATGGCCTTACATGACAAAGAGCGTGCTTTTTTTAAAGCACTGGTGAATGCAATGTACTTTTAAGTTTGCTTATACCTGTGTGATGCCAAATCACTGCTGATTTTCAGAGGTGCTTCCAACTAGTTCCCTTTACATGACAGTGTAGCCATTTCTGTGAAAGGATGTAGCTGAATTCACCAAATCAAGTAAGGAAGTTTGTCATTTTTGCCCGAGTACGTGAAATTGTAAACTGTTAACAGTTTTCCTCTTTTTTTAGGGGCATAAGAAATATTTCAAACGCAGTGAGTTAGTTAAAAAAGAAGAGGAGGCCTACTTTCAGAGATGTGGCTACAAGGTATGGTAGTTGTTCTGTCAGGAATATGTATGTTTACTTTGAAGTCTACATTTTATTATCAACAGTATAAATGTTGTTAATGTTAATTGTTGTTCTTTGTTCAATCTGTTAATGTTATACATTAGCCTGTAAATGAGAAGCCACCTGGAGAGGTATGAGTTTCCAAAACCATTTTCAATGCAGGAAAAGATATGCATGATATACAGCTACTTAAGTTTGTGTTATGGTTTGGCTTTTATTATTTATTTATTTGTTTGTTTGTTTATTTATTTATTTTTTGTGGAAAGCATGAAGTGGCTTGGGATCAAAGCTTGTCTTCCTTTCTTTTTAAATTGTGCTGTTAGGCATGAACACTGGATCTGATACAGCCACCTTCCCTTCCCCTCCGTCCCTTACTGGAAAAAATGGATACATCCAGATAATTTTATCCGTTCAGATAACTGTCACGGTCTTGTCAAAATGTCCAAAAGAAATCAGTATAGCGTGGGTGCATATTAAAAAGGTCTGCCAACTTTGATACTGTATATATTTATATTTGGTTTTTGGCCATCGACCATCCAGCATTGAAAGGGTGTAAGGACAGCATTTGTTTTTTTGCTGTCAAAATATTAGAAAACAGTTGGTAATGTAGGGCATGCTTTGAAACAAATGAGTGATCTGGAAGGCTTTAGTTGCCTTGTAACGGTGTCAGAGAAATAGTTTACTGAAGTGGGAAGAATGTTGTTTTCTTTTACAAGTGTGTGTGCCTGCCTGCCTGATTATACGTGTATGGGAGGGGTTTGCATTTCCTTGTGGAAGATAGAGGCTTGTGATCTCGTTGTTTGTTACTGGGCACAAATAGAAGCTTTGTTTTCAATTCAACTTTACCCAGTTCGTGACTTATTCTGAAACCTTGATCTGTTTGTAGAATATTTGAACATCAGTGCCAAAATGATTCTCAGAACGTGCAGCATATAGTCATGAGAAAGTGTTCTGTGAATCCAGTCACTCTTCCAAGTGGAAATGACTACGTGATGCCTTTTGAGCATTAGCTTGAGTTCTTCAGAACCTTGCATGGTGGTCAGAATGCTGTTATCTGTGCTGCTGCAGCACCAGTTTTGGTTCGAAATGTAACCCTGAAAACGGTTTTAAAATAAGTTGCTTTGTTAAGTTTAGCACCTTTTTAGAGCCTCCCAGATTTCTGCATTTGATCTTTACTATGTTAATGAGATGTAGAATATAGACTGATTTCTTTTTAAATTCAGGTGTGTTCTTGCTTTGCTTAGACTTAATAAGATCTAATAATTTGACTTGCTTGGAAAAGAAAGCACTGAAACCAGAATAACAGTGGTAAAGGTATTGCTTGTAACTTGAAGTCCAGCTGACAGAACGGATCAAATCTTTTCCCCCAATGCTGCTGTCTCTATGATTTCAAGAATGTTTTGTAAGTTAAAATTTGTACGTATGCTTCTGCCATGGGAGTGTATTTCTTTATATATTTACACAGTTCTTCCATCTTTTCTGTCCCCCATCTATTCCCCCTTTCCTGCATTGATAGAAGTTTTATTTTTTCCTGCCCTTTATGTGTTAAGCATTGATTTGATTGTTCTTCCCTTGCTCGTTCCAAACACTTGTGGTTGTAGGATTGATTTCTGTGTTTGCTGGTATAGCATTGAATATAGATTTGTGGTTGAATCCTGTAGCTGGAATCACAGGGGCGAATCCTTATATCTGCATGGAGTCATACTGACATCTGAGTGCAAGATTGGCACATTGACTTGAAGGAATGAAAAAGCTTCTTTAAAAAAATCTGTCTGGTACATTCATCAAACTGATCAACCTGAATACAGACTGGAAATGACAATGTACTGCCCGTGCACAGAGAATTCTACAGGGTGCTGTAGGATTAAGTGGGGCATTTCCCTTTTAGCAAGTTCGTAAAGGAAATAGATTCTAATAAGGAATCTAGTTAAAAACAAGATGTGAGGGAACACTGGAAATGTTTCCTTATTACGGGAATATTACCAACAGCAATCTGCTTATGTTGTCAAAATTGTCAAATTTGAACTTATAAAGGGAACTGTAGTTACATGACTGCTGTCTCAAAGTTGCTTTGATCAAAGAGTTGTTTTTTGTTATTGAAATATTGAGTAATGAAGAATGAAAGCTCTGTTTGATTCAGAGACCGTCTTTTAGATTAAGAGGAGTTGTTAATGAGATGCTATCCCTATGAGGAGTTGTAGGTGTCTCTTTTTTTTTTTTTTTTAAACCCACAAGAAAGTATGGTAAGCTTGTTAGAAAGATGTGTTACCTTAAACAAGCACCTCTCAAAACCCAGTAGAAGCCATGGATTGCTGCTAACTGTACTCAGCTCACTGAAGCTGTAGGTAATAAATATTTTAAGCTGATACTGTCACTGAAAGAAGCAGCCCCACTCTCTTCCTGCCATTGGGTTTTAATTTCTGCCCTTGTGTCCATGCATGTGCTACGCCTGGTCAGCTGAATGAGCAGGTTAGGTGGGCTGGGAAGAGTACCTGTCTTCGTGTTTGCCAGATTATTTTCTGTTTAAATCATTTCCCCCTTCTGGTTCACCACATAATGATGCAAATACTTTTGCTTGGGTAAGGATGATAGGGCAGGGGCATGAATCGATAGGCAGAGGGTGGATTTGCTATTTTTGTCACCAGTGCTGACATCTGTCTGCTAAAGTGATGGCCAAACTTCAGCAATTGTCCTTTCTGTTTGCTATAGAGACTGCTTCCTGCAACATGCAGAACTGCTAGTGAAATACTGGTACTTCTAAAAGCTTTTATTGTTATGTGAAGTTCAATTCTAGACAATAAAAACTACAAAACTAAAAGCTTTGTATTGTCTTAGAGCAGTCTGTGTTCTAGAGTTCCTGTATCATTACATTGCTATCAGTATATGGGCTTATTTCCATGGGCACATTAGTAACTATGTCTGAATGAATGTAGGTACAGCAGCAAGAGGAGGAAGAGAAACCACTGACTTCATCAAATCCAGTGCTGGAACTCGAACTGGCAGAAGAAAAACTACCAATGACCCTTTCCAGACAGGAGGTAAATTCAATTTTCATAAACAGACTACTTGAGTTTACAGCAAATGTATCTATCTGCAATTTCTTGCTAGGGCTGCTCTTTTCTAGTGATCTGTGCTTTCTGTGGCAGTTTGTATTAAATAATAAGTCTCCATTTTTGCAGTCAGCGATTGATGATGATCTTTACTCATCAAGGATCTGCTGTCGGATTGAATGCATAGGCAGGTACAGATGGGTACATCCTCTTTGTCATATGGATTGGCACAGATGTGCTATAACATTTTACAGCTCTTTCAGATGACTTCTAAAGTAGTACCTGGATTCTTAAGTAATACTGAAGGTGGCGTGCTGACGTTTTGCAAGATTTTTTTCCCTCAGCTTCTTTTCTTTGTAGCTCGTTGCTCTGAACCCAAATTTAGAAATTAAGTTTTGGAAGTTCACCTTCGTTTCTGGAAGAAAAAGTTCTGAGCAGCCAGAGCAGCTCGTGTGTTCTTTGTCCTTTCTAAGGGTAAAAATACCTGTGTGAATGTGAGTTCAGAAACAGATCTATACACAAAAGCAGAAGAGAAGGAGGAAGTGCAGAAGTACAGAATAAATTCTGATCTTGAAAATACTGAAATTCACACCTGAGGTCATCCAAAGCCCTTATTTTTGCAAGATACTGTTTTTTTCAGGAGTATCTTACAGGACTTGTAACGTGGGCTGTTGGCTTCATGTTTGGTCTGTGTGTCCTGTGTAATGTGCGCTGCCTCACTGCGGTTGATCTTGGGTACGGGTTTTGGTCAAGGTTTAGGTCTTACTTTTCTAGCACTCTATCCACCTCTGGTTTTGTGATACATTTGCAGGTCAAATGCTTTCCAACATACAGCAAGACACTTAAACTGAATAAATGAATGAATGTCTTAATTCATGTAGTTTCTTGTTGTCCGGCTAGTCTCAGTATAATGAAGTGATGGCGTGAAAGGAAGTATATGCCTTTCTCTGGATCACCAAAGCATTGCGTGGTGATTCGTATATCAATAAGCCTATTGCTTGGCACACTAAATGAATAATGGTAAGTATAAAGAGATTTAGAAGCAGTACATGAGATAAGGAATCAGGAGAATAAAGCAGTTTTTGGCTCTGCCCGTGACTTCCTAATTCAGCTGAGGGAGGATGTTACACCTCTGTTATGTCTAGTTTTAAAGCAACTATCACGTTAGACTATGGGACTTAATGTTTACCAAATGCTTAAGGATGAGATTTTTCAGTAAATCAGTCTTGCAGATGTGCTGGGACAACCTGCAGGCTAGTTAGGGTGTATCTTTATTGCACTGGACAAGTAGGTGAGTGAGATTATTGTCAAGTTCCTTTGTGATTTTGAAAACAGTTTTTAAGCTCTGCCAGAGGGATGGTTTTTGTGTATTTGCTTAAGCAAGTCAGAGCAGGAAGAAGTTAGGCTATACTAAACAGCTTGGGATTCTGTGCAGAATTCAGAGTGGTACTATTTGGAATGACCTTTCACGGAAATACCGTGGGAATTTTCTATTTAGGTTGTAAAGTGTCTGAAACATTTTTCTACTGCTTAAAATATTGCCATTTCCTCTTCAGTCTAGCTCAGCTTGTTATTCTAAGCAAAGTAAATAAATCCGTCCTGGATTTTATTTTGCTTCCTTTATGAGTTTGTGTAAGGGAATGCTTTGATTCTCTTTAGGTTATCAGGAGGTTACGAGAAAGAGGTGAGCCAATCAGACTGTTTGGAGAAACAGATTATGATGCGTTTCAACGTCTGAGGAAGATAGAAATTCTTGCACCTGAAGTGAACAAGGTAAGACCGGCTGGGTATTAGTTACTTTTTATAGTGAGATAACCAGTGAGGAACCCTATAAAAGCAACCAAAAATCAGTTTCAGTAACTTAATTTTCAGGAGGGAGGTGTAGTACAGAGCAGAGAGAAATATCTGGCCTGTCTCATTTATTGCCTGAGAAAGTATGTTATGTCATAGTTTTGTGCACAATTACAATTCCTTATGTTAGACAGTTCAACCTTGGAAACCTCCCAGGCCCTTTTCAGCTGACAAAGGGGCCTCTGGGTGGCAGTAATACCCCAGCCTGTGCTGTCACCTGCTTTGTAACCAGCAGAGAAGACAGTCATTTGCTGTTAAAACTAGCCTGTGTTCGTGATTATATGCATTTCTGAGAAGGTACAGGTAATTAAGAGGAGGACTGCATCCTGTATTTCTGGTATGTAAATCATTTTTCAAATTGCTTGATTACAGAGCTTTAACTTGTTATGGGAACTTCATTTCCTCTCCCCTCCCCTTCCCTTTAAAGTAGTCATTGATTCAGAAAATGACTAAAAGATATATCATAGTTAACTGATTTATTCATTTTGTCTTAAGAATTGATCAGTTAAGTGAGGAGATGCAGTTGAAGTTTGTTTGGTGTTCATTGTTAGCCAAATTTTCAACCCAGCTAAGAGAGTGACAATTTGGATTTTCTTCCCTAATTACTGACAAGCTGAGTTATTTGAAATGTCTTTTTTGGGACTGCTCAGAAAAGGAAAGCCTTTGCCTATTCAGGTCTTAAAAAAAGATAAACACATCTGAAGGTTTAGAAAAACCCATTCTGCTAGCAAAAGCTTTCTCCATCAGTGACCTCTACAATAGTAGGAGTATTAGCAAATAGTGAGCTCATAAATAGGACTGTGTTGTTTTTTTGTGTTGTACAGTTCAGTCACTCCTGTTGCTACATGTTGCTTAAAATGTAGACAGTCACTATAACCAGTTTATGGTTCAGACGTTTTTAGACTACTAAATGATTAATAGAAACGCTCCGGACAGTCAGGTATGATGATGAAAGAGGGGAAATAACTGTGTTCTATTCCCAGTGGAGTGGATGAATTTATCTTAGGGTAAGAAATGCCATATTCCTTTATAGAGCATTATATTTTATGTCTCAAGATAAGAATGCAAGTCCTCTGACTGACTCAGCTGAGTTTTTGTTCTACTTAAAAGCAGCTCTTAACTGTATATATACGGTTTCAGACTCACTCTAATTTTATTTTTTTAATCACCTATTCTAGAGTAGGGGATTTTAAATACTTTATATAAAACATCCTGCTATGTTTAAATCATTGGTAAAAAGGGAAACTACATAAATGTTTAATGTGATAGTACTGAAGGAGTGTTACGTACCTTATTTACAGCTTTTTTCAGGGCATATGTGAAAACTTGAAGAGCTGATGATGGTTATCGTCTGTTTTCTGTTCATTTTGGGGTGGTTCAGTGCATTGCTTGGAGGAAATGTGTTGAAGAAAGTCCTAGAAGTTGATTCAGTCCTCCATGCTTTTATGGTAAAAATATGATAAAAAGTCTTTCGTAGATGTGAACACTGCAGAAGTTCATACACCTTCTTTTTCTTAAGTGCTGAAGCAATCCAGAAACTTCTTTGAAATCAGTTTAAGTTCAGACAACAAAGCTAAACCCTTATGCATGTTCTTACAGAATTTGACTTTTCTTAAACAAGCTGGATGCTCACAGAGACAGTACTGAACTGCTTTTATTTACTTGAGGGTTTTTTTGTAAATTAATCATTTCTAATCTTTTCTAGGGCCTGAGAAATGACCTGAAGGCTGCTTTGGATAAGATAGATCAGCAGTATCTGAATGAAATTGTAGGCGGCCAAGAAGCAGGAGACGATGACTCACAGAATGACTTGAAAGTTCATGAGGAAAATACAACTATTGAAGAACTAGAAGTATGTGATGGGTAGATTTTAATTAAGGGATTTTAGATGTAGTATATTGTTGTGAGAAAGCTTCAGGATACTTTAGGCAAAGTTAACTTGTTTTCAGTATCTAACTTAGAGGTTCTGAGGTATCCTTAAGTATGCTCTGTTAGGAAATTTAGGTTTCTAAGCCTTGAGTTGTACCATAGGCGTTTACAGTAGACATGTGAAAACTCAAGTGTTCTTTGTTGACAACACTCCGTCAAAAAGGGGGCAGGAGTTGCCTGCAGAGAAAGGGATAGTTAGGATTCCAACTGCAAGGGGTTTGGAAGTAGAGAATTTAATAAAAATACGTTACCTGGTCATAAATTCTAAAGCCTTTCCTATGAGTATTTGAGAGGGTAATAAGCTTAGTACCAATTAATTTTTCCTATACAAGAAAGATGAACTCTGAAAAACAGACACACAGAAAGAATATTTGCTATCAAAACACCCAGGACAAAAAAAAAAGAAGTGAACATCAGAAGTAGGCAGATCACAGGAAATAGAAGAAATGCAGAGATGATGTGTCCCAGAAACTTCAGAGCAAATGGCTACTGTTTTCTGAAAGAATACTATGGTATTTGTGTTAGTGAGCAGAGAATGAGTGCCATGAAATGCATTCAGCACCTGGTATTTTAGGGTACTGTTTTGAAAAGCACATTAACTTGAGCTTCTACCCTTAACCTTTGCAGGAGTTAATTTTCATAACATCCCTCTAAAAGTATGTTTAAGAATTAATCCAATTTATAACTGAAAGGTTAAATTAATACATTATTATGAGGAGATTCTCTTTGGCTTTTTTGTTAGTGTACCAGGGGTTCTGGTTTAAAATAACTGTAGTACCAGAATGGATACCACTTGTAATGGGGCTGCATTTTATCAATCTGTTAGTTATCAAAATATTCCCTTTTTGGGGTAGTAGGACAGGCTTAGTTTGAGCCACAAAAGTAATCTTTTTCTGAAAAGTTTGAAAACACTGCAGTCTTAATTTTATGCTACTTTAACTGTATTCCCTTGAGCGTAAAGGTTTACACTGAATTGAGTTCCAAATCTAGGAGATTTCCTAAATAAAACTCGCTTTGGAAATGTGAGAACAATGGAAATAGATTATAAATCCAACGATACCTAATGGAAAATGTTTCTAAAAATTGCTGTTAGTATTAACAGTTTTGAGGTTTTGGCAGGAAGCTAGAGCATTGGAGCACACTGCTGGGTTTTTTTTGGTGTGCTGTGGTTTTGTTTTGTTTGTTTTTGTTTGGGGTTTTTTTTGTTTGTTTGTTTTGTTTTGTTTTTGTTTTTGTTCCCTCAATTTCACAGTTACAATTAAATGAAATGGTAGAAAGCCCCAGTACATCAGAGAATTAAAATAGCTTAACAAAGTAATTAGGTCAATTGATGACTCTGGGGATCTTAAAAAATGCAGTGCATCCACAGTTCCCCTTAATGTAGTGCTGTCAGACAGCTGCTGCTTATGCCAATAGTTCAGTAGTTAATGAATGAAAAATTACTGCTGCATTGACTTTTTAGAAATAATCATATTGGCTCTTTGACCTAAATGTTTGTAATGGATTAATGATTCTTAGTAGCATATATAGCTGCTTCACTCCATTTCCTAACTAGTGTTTTGGATTACTGATGGAGTTTATTGCAGTTCACGATGCAGTGATTCATGCTCTGCTGAGGTGGCAGTGGCAAGCTTCTAGACGGTGTGGAAATAACTGCCTTTTCTTCTCCTGTTCTAGGCTTTGGGAGAATCCTTAGGGCGGGGTGATGATCACTATGATATGGACATCATAACGAAGTTCTTAAAGGTAACTAATAGATTAATTATTCTGTAGCTGTGTCATATTTTTTATTAACATGCAGGTACGTTTTGTGAATAGAAGGGATGGTTTCAGCTGCTTGGAGAGGAAAAACTCACATGTTGCACTTAAGGTGTGGAGTTTTTTTAATGCTTGGCACTCCACAGTCTTGGTTAGTCACAATAGTGATTTCTGCTAGACCTGGGAAAGTGCTGTTGGGAGAGCAGCATTCTTCAAAATCTGGTCCTGCTTTTCCAGACAAAATAAATGCAGTTTTGATTTCTCTATGATAATTGAAGCAGTTGTATGTAGTTGCTTCTGTGTACTACTGTGGCATTAAAAACTTCGGAGGAGTCCCTACCTCTCTTCCTCAGGAACAGTGCAAGCTGAAATGAAATGTCAACAGGTACTGTTTTGTGAAATCATAGAATTTTAAAGGAAGTCTGCTGGCTTTGCTAAGGAAACAGGTTCAAGTGGATAGTAGAAAATTGTTTCCTTGTTTCCTGGCAAGTAGCCTGTATTGCCTCTCATTTGAGTCAGCCAATTCCTGTGTAATCTGTTGGGATGATCAGAAGTTACAGCAAGAGTTGAAGCTTTCATGCATGTATATAAGATACACCGGCATTTTAATATATTTTGGGCTGGGCAGTCAAAGAAAGCTCAAAAATTGTTTTCCAGACAGAGAGAAGGTACATTTGACATGTTTCCCTTCTGGTGTGTTGAATTTTCACTGTGATCTTCACCATTCCTTAGGCTCCTTCACAAAAATTGCCCTGAAACATCAGCATCTTCTACTTGAATTTCTGTTCTTTTTCTGTACCACTCCTCCCTCCCGGCACCGATACCTACACTGTTGTTTCCTTTTTTTTTTTTTTTTTTTTTTGTACACATCTTTTTATACATGTTCCCCACCTCGCCCATATGTTTTTTATGATAGGAGGGTTGTTCCCATCTGTCCTTTCCTGTCCTTCTGAAAGAGGCTTCTTGCCTTCTTAATTCAGATTTCTCCAAAGAGCTCATTTTTGCCTTGATGGCTTAAACCAGTTCCCATCTGTTTTGCCGAGGAAGTCACTAGATGGCACTATGACATAAATTTGCTTGTTCCTTGTACAGTTTCTTCTTGGAGTTTGGGCTAAGGAGCTGAATGCCAGAGAAGACTATGTGAAACGGGGAGTGCAGGGGAAGCTGAACAGCGCCACTCAAAAGCAGACAGAATCGTACCTGAGGCCACTCTTCAGAAAGCTTCGGAAAAGGGTGAATCATTTTTAAATGTCACTATCCTCTAAGACTTATTTTCACTCCTGCTTTCAAAGTATTCAGTAGTTAGCGCCCTTTCCTCAGACAATGTTATCTTTACTGAAGAACAGAGGACGAGTTGGTCAGGGTTTCTGTGTCTAGAGCCTATGACTCCCAGTTCTGACCTTTTAATCTTGACCAGTGAATTCTGGCTACCCATTGCTTTCCCAAGTGTTGCTTTATGTATCACCTGTTCACTGGATTGCAAATGTGGTAGAGAATCGGGATTGTATTTTGCACTTTGCCACCAGCTACTAGGTGTAACCACTTAACCTCTCTTGCTTCAGATCCTTCATCTAAATAAGGCAGAGGTTTTCCTTTGTTGAAGTCTGCAAGCTAGGGTTGGTGCTAAACTTTGTGTAAATGCTGAGTAGGATGAATTTCCTGAAGTCTAGTCTGAAGATGTCTTTTTTTCCCATTCTTCACCTGTAGACACTTCCTGCAGACATCAAAGAATCAATAACGGATATTATTAAATTCATGTTGCAAAGAGAATATGTGAAGGTACGTTTGTTTTCACTCTTCTGGCATGTTCAGGCTCTCTGGTTCTAACAGATTGAATTTATTACTTCAACGTTTCCCATTTTGCATTTTGAAGACACATAGCTGGAAATACACACAACATATATTCAAACAAAATGAAAAATGGCTATTAAAGGTTAGGCTTTGGATAGCATTTGATCCACAGTCTGTCAGAAGATCTCTTGAGGTTGATGAAACTGCAGAGCTTTGCAAGCACGAAGAGAATTTTTCTCAGAGATGGTTATATTAAGTTGCAGAGTAATCCTGTATGGGAAACCTGATATTGTGAGGTTAAATGAAGGCATTGAATTAATAGTAATAGGATGTTGATTAATTAATTAGGAATTAATTGAGGTGAGCTGAGTTATTGAATATGAGACACTGTTCCTTTTCTTTGGTATGCTCACATTAGCTGGCCTGGTAAGGTTGAGTTCGGTTAATGAAAAGTTTTTTGAACAAAATCTGTTTACTGGAGGAGGCAGAAGTACTTTGGCACACGAGATCAAAGGCAGCGTTGGGTTTTGTTTGTAACTGCCTTCAGGAGTGAAACTCAAACACTGATAGCGTTTGCTTAAGCACCTTGTGTATGCAGAGGAAATTGAGCCATGTTTTGCTTTTAAATTTCTAGTATTTCTTATTCTTGTGAGGACTTGGGATAATTTGTCAAGCAAGCAAGCAAACCTGCTTTTGTTATTGAAAAAACTTTAGATGGCCTGAAGCAAGTTTAATCCAAATAATTTGACAGTAGAACTAAAATTGTGGGATGTATGATAGCGGGGTTTTGGTTTAGGGCATTTTTTTTTCTTTTGGTCATCATCATTATGCTGAAATTCCCTTTCTGATGCCTTCCCAAACAAATCAGTGAGTGTGTGGGAATGTGGTCTGTTGCATGGGCTGATCAGCTGTGCTCCTCTCTCCTGGAGGTGCTTGTCTTTATTTAAACTTCACAGACTGATTTGAGGGGGGGTTCAGTACGCACCTGGAGGGTTTTTGTGTTGTGTTTTTTTTTTTTTTTTAAATTGGGCTAATGAGCCTTGTGCTTTCAAAGATATTCATATTCTTTTCTATTTTGCTTCCTAAGAGACTTGTCTCTTTCTGCCTGCTGTTGTCTTCTTTGCTTTTTTTCTACTTTGCAGCCTAGTGAACACTGTCAACCACAAATTTTTACTGCTTTGTTAGGTGAAATACTTGAAAGAGTTTAACTTTGAAATGAACATGTGACAGTAGGCAAATGCCAGAATGCAAGTTGTCCACTCAACTTTAATTAACCCTGCTGTGACAATCCTGGAAGGGTCTGTAATCGCATGTTCACATACTGTGTTTCATCACAAAACTATATTTTAGTCAGCAAGTAGATACTTGACTAAGACTGTTCAGATTCTGCCTCATGTAGGTTTTGATTAAGTCCCTTCTTCAGGTTCGCTCTCAGCTCTATATGCAACCCCCTGCCTTGTTCATTATTCACCTCTCAGTGAGGATTTTGCTCAGTGCCAGTTGAGAAGAAACTGCACCCACTGGTCGTGATTGCTACTTTTTAATTTTTTAGTCTCTAAGTGGGAGATGATAAATGAACTCTTTATCAGTGAGTCTTGTAGCTGCTCACTAACAGTGGTGAATGTCCTGCTCCAAGTCCTTCTGGAAGCTGTTTCTGTAACTGCATGTATGTGTCTCACTTCCCCCTCACTTCCTGGACCTCAGTTACGTTTTTTTTTAAGCTCTGTACTTCTTTTCCTTTCTCCCTTTCTTTCTATTAATTTTCCCCTTCAAGTTTTATCCCTGTTCTTCCTCAGGGATGATGTCTGCTACAGTTTTATGTTAAGAAACAGGGTCTGCTATCTCGATCGGGAAATTTCAGATACATTTACTGCTTCTAGTGCTCTGTTTATAAACATCATTAGAAATATGCTTTATTTGACCCAGTTTTGTAGAGAGCTGGTTCTCAGCCTCATTGGACTCTTGCTTCTCCCCCAGAGCTGTCAGGCCCCAGCGCACTCCTGTGTGCTGGGTGACCTCAGTTCTGCACACGTGACGTGAGCCTGCAGTGGGTTGTGCTTACAGCCAGGCTCCCTGGTCTAGTCTGCAGCCAAAACAGCAAGGTTTGTAAAGGGGATTACAGCAAAAAAGCTTATGGGAACCTGAGAAGGATGAGTTGAAAACAATCCTAGTAAACTTTAGTTTTTATCAATATTAGACTGCCTTATGCAGTGCTTTCTTTCATCACCCTATAGGGAAAGTCCATATAGTCCTTGCTGCCTTCAGAGTTCAGCAGAAACATAAATTGTGTTAGGAAGGTGTGTTGTAGAATTGGTTAATACTGTGCCATGAAACCTGATTCGGAGAGACTGGAACATGTGGTGGTGGTGTATCTGGCAATGCAAAAATGCTCTGCTTTCTTGTGCCCTTTCTGTTTTGCTAAGTGTGCACGCGCTGTATTCCTTCAGGCAAACGATGCCTATCTTCAGATGGCTATTGGCAATGCTCCCTGGCCTATTGGTGTCACCATGGTTGGCATCCACGCTCGAACGGGTCGAGAAAAGATCTTCTCGAAGCACGTAGCCCACGTTCTCAATGATGAAACTCAAAGGAAGTATATTCAGGTAATGTTAGCTTTGGAAATCCAACAGATTTGCTTTTGAAGTTAGGGGATCTTTGAGAAATATTGGCTTCGTAGTTACAGGTGATGTGGTGGTAGAAAGGTCCTAGAAACGATCAATTGCCTTAGTTTGGATTAAACATAATGTTCATTTAATAGGAAGTTCATCCTGGACCTGAAGGCTTTTCAGTGCTGGCAAGGAACAGTCTAATGGATTTTTCTACATCTGAACTATTGTGATCCTGTATGAACATCAAAGAAGCTGTGAAGACATGCTTTATTCCTCCAAGTTGCTTCACTGCTTCAGTCATGGTTTTAACATCGTGGAATTTTATACCGTGAAATACAGTCCTTCTGACTATTCCTGCAACTAGATAAATGCGTTCATTTTTCAAACATGTTTCTTTAACAGTGTGGGTTCAAAATTGCAGGTTTAGTTTCTCCTATGCATATTCATACTCATGTCACGAACTTTTGGTTGTGGAATTAGTAGTAGTGTTTCTCTTCTCTGACCTTTCAGCGTAGTGGGTAGATGGGTCTGAGGAAACAAGTCTTCTCTCCTAGTATTGTTAAATGTATTTGCCTCTTGCCAGTTGCAGTTTCAGTGAGATAAAGACCTTCTGGCTTAACTCTGAAGCCTCCAGAGCAGTACCATGGAGCTCAGAGCTGCTGGCTGGAGAGGTTTACATAAATGTCTTCCTGCTGCAGCAGAAGGACTTCTGTTGCTTTTCAACCTCTGCAGATGTCCGCAAGCAGATTGCTTGCAAAATGCAACTTCTTCTGCCTTGAGTCTTTTTGTATTGGGGCTACAAGTATAACCTTTGGTTTCTCTTCAACTATAGTTTTTAATATCATAACCTGGGAAAGTATCATTGTGAAGTCAAAGGGAGTTCCAGACAGAGCCAGTAAATCAGAGGTGAGAATTGGCATGTGGATTTATGCATCTTCAGAGACAGGCTCTGGTTAGGGTAATACTTGCTCGAAAGTAATTAATGGATGAAATAGCTAATGTTAAACTAAATCATTTTGTTGTTAGTCTGTATTAAAAAAGTGATTTTGACTCTAAAGGAAGATTGGAGTGGGCCTCAGCATAGCCATAATGCTGCTTCTCTAATTTTGGTGAGTAACTGGCCAATGAGTCCAGTTGTCACTCTTCTGGCAGAAAGATCTCTACCTCTCTTGTGTTGCTTGATCTCCTTTAACATACCTTGTGGAAGATACGATGTGTGTGAATTCCCCAGGTTGTCCCTACTCTGCTTTTGGAATTGCATCTCTTCATCAAGGAAATCTTCGTGTTCGTCCTTCCACTGTGAATTTCATATCTGTGCTACTGAATTACACAACTTACTGAAGTGCCAAGTCAAAGTTGGCTTTAAACACGTATGTTCTCTGTGCTGGTTTTAAGTATCAGGTCTTTGCTAGTCTGGTTCAAACTGAAGCGTGGAATATTATCTGTGTGCCAGCAGTTACATCAAGCTAACGTGTTTCTGATTCACAATGAACCTGGGATCATAACATCCCCAACAAGGAGTCATGGTGCTAGGACATTTTCCAGACTTGCCTACATCGAAAAAGCCAAAGCATCCTCTCTTGAATCATTTTTTCCTTCTTCCCCTTCCCTTCTTTCCCATCATCCATGATGAGTGTCTAATGACAGACACTTGACTCTGCCATCTTGAAATACAGTGTCACTGCTGAATTTACCACCACAGCAATTTTCTTTCTTCTCTGTTAGGCTTTTATATGTGACTTGAAAGAAAATAATCACAGTTTCTGTCATGTTGGATTTTGATAATTGATGCCTTGAAAGAACTGAAGAGAAAAGTTGACATTCTGCCTTTCTTCTTGATCACTTTTTCAGTTTGCGTCCACGGTGTAGGTCAGGAGTGGTGCCACCACGGGGAAGAATGACATCTGTCTTCCAGAGAAATTGTTCAGTTCTTGTAGCTGTGCAGCTTGTTTTGGTGTCAGAAATTGCTTTTTGATCTACAGAATTACTTCTAATACTCAAATTTCTTTTAAATATCTTTTATTGTGTTAGTATTGTTTTCTCCTGTGGTGGTGAAGAGGGATTAAAGCATTGCTGTGATCCTTCACTGTGAATCTGTCAGGAGGGACCGAATCTGTGGTCTCTTCAGTTATGCCACCGATGCTCTAATATTGGTGATAACTTGGCATTTGCAGGCAGAAAGGGTTGTAAAACTTAAAAGCTGGAAAACCAACTAAATTAAAAAGAACCACCCCAAAATAGCAGCCGTTTGTCTTGAATTTTTCTTGTTAAACTTAAAAATACTGTAGGCTGTTAAGTTTGTTTGGCAGCTGCGGTTTTCTTATAGAATTGTCCTTGTTTTGTTAATTCCTAGGGGCTGAAGAGGCTCATGACAATTTGCCAGAAGCACTTCCCAACAGACCCATCGAAATGTGTGGAGTACAACGCTCTGTGAGGCTCTGCAGTGTCCAAGGCGTGACTCATATTTTGATCTCCTAACACCCAGAGAGGATTGAAGAGACAGTTTGTGCTTTAACACCAACAGGAACCTAGGGTGGGCTTTGAGAAAAAGCATAAAGCAGCAGATTTTCTACAGCTTCCTTTCTACGAGCCCCATTTAGTTAGATTTCTTTTTAAATCTATGCTTTATGCTGAGTGCATCCAGTATACAGCAGAGGGGGGTATTTCTGAAGGGATTATGACCAGGACAATGACCAGGGGACAATGAACATCACCTTTGCTTTTATTTCAGTTTTTTATTCAGAGAACCACACAGACTGAACTGTTGCCCATATCTTAGAGCTTTAGGTGAGACTCAGCCCTGCAAGAGCTTATGTGGAGCTTTTTTGGCTGCTTTCCCGTTGGAGACTGATGTGGGGAGATGATTAGAGGGAAGCAGTTGAATCTGAATCTTGGTTATTTCTTTAAATATGAAGACTTTATTGGTTAATCTTTCATGTGGGATTTATCAGGAGGAAAAAAAAAAGTTTTCTATATTTCTCAGCTGAAAAATACAGCCAGCCTCAGTGCAAAGAATTTTTGATCTTGAATGTATCTGATTGGTGCTTTTTTTTTTGGTAACGATATTTTTAATATAAGCCTTCTGGGCTTGGGGGAAGTAATCTTATGGCTCTTGAGGCTTTCAAATCCCATTTTTATACATCTGGAGAAAATTTCAGTCTTCTGGGCATTGCAGAGAAAATAATTAGGACCTCCCATGACCACGAACAGTATTGTATATGTGGCCACAAGTCTTTACCATTGTGCGTGTTGACTGGGAACGGCGGAGAAAGTCCCAGAAACAAGAATGTGTAATTCTGCATCAACAGTGAAATGTTGAAACGTTGTTAGTGGTGCAGGTTCAAAGCCTTAGGCTGAAATAATGTGTTTTTGTTTTTGTTTTGTTTTTTGTGGTTTTTTTTGTTTGTTTGTTTTTTTTTGTTTTGGTTTGTTTTGGTTTGTTTTTTTTGGTTTTTTTTTGTTTTTTTTTTTTCAATTACAAGAACAGCAGTGCCTCTGCAACAGTATTAAACAGGTCCTTCTCTTAAGGAGGCCTTTCTAGGACCTTCAGTGAAGCTCTTAAATTGTTGATCATTGCAGTGGCCGCTAATTACTGCCAGTACCCACACTGGTGAGAATCCAGACCTCGAGTGTGTCTGGCCCCACCGAGCCCGTAGAGCCGATACAGAGCCTGCTCCCCTGCCCCTGGAGAAGCCTTTTCTGTGCGGTCGGTGGGGAGGGGAGGGTCTGGGCCCGGCTGCTGGGGCTTGGATTCAGGTGGGTGTTGGAATCTGGTACCGCGTGAGGCAGCCGGGGCTCTGGCAGGTCTGGCACTCGGGAGCGTTGGGCTTGTGACCATCGAGCTGCCGCAGTGGTGGGCCGGGTGCAGCCTGAGCACAGCCACCTCCCGGAGAAACGTGTCAGTGTTCACGGGTGTTGGTTTGTCCAAGTCCTCAATTCAACCCGAAGCACTGGAGCTGGAACTGGTGCCGCCTTCTGGAGGAGTCACCGTCTCCCGTGGGTATTCGCAGCGTCCTGTGGGTCAGTGGGGGGTGGTGCTGGGGGATTTCTGCTGGCAGCGTTTGGAGGAGCGTCTTGTGGCACTTCGGGTTCTTCTGGAGAATCTCCAGATTCTGACGTGCCTCTTGGGACACAGGAGTTTTTCAGTCTGGAGTGTGTGACCCCAGAGAAAATGTCAAGAGCTTAAACAGTTTAGAAGTAATAAAAATGAGGCTGATGAGACCTAACCAGCACTTGGGGAGGGGCCTTTGGGGAATAGACGGGGATTTGTGGGGAGAAGCTGGGCAGATGTCAAGAGCATGGAAGAGTTCCATTAACGGTGGTGTCTGGTGATTATTTTTTTTTTTGCAGTGCTCTGTACAGATACTCTTCAGTGGCATTATTACAACAGGAAACATTTATTTATAACACTGCAACGAGGTGATTTCCTGAGCTGTTTATAAATTTTCATCCTGGCCTTGGTTTTGAACTCTTTAAGTAACTGAGGGACAGTATTGTCCCTCGTTTAGAAGAGCTATAATTTCCCTGGAAAGAGCAGCAAGTGAGTAGCCAGGGGATGGCTTAAGGAGCATTGCAACCTCTGCTTTAGAAGGAACTGGATTCCTTAGGGCATCTGTAATGCTATTAAATAGATTTTTCCCTCCTACTCTAGAGCTAATTACTGAGGAGAGTTTCAATGGTACCCTGAGTACTGCTTTGAGTGGGGATGTGCCTCCTGTAGGGATGTGAATTTGGGGTTGGAATGTTTTAGTCTGGTCAGGTTTTAAAGAATGTAATTTAAGCAGTGTGCCTCCTTGCTGACAGTGCCTGAAATACAGCCGCCTTGCTTGACTGAATCCCATGACGGAAGAACTTTATCCCCTCGCAATTCGCGGAATGGCGCTGCGCGGGGAGCCGGGGAGCCGAGCGGGACTTTCTCACGGCATATCTGTGTAAGAGCTTCCAGCTGGCCGGCACGTGAGAGCCAGCTTCGGCCCGCGGGGGGGTGGCGAGGCGGGGGGACACGGTTACAGCAGCTGCTTTTCATCATGGGCTTGAGGCTCTTTGCAGCTGGATGGGCCCAAATTGCAGCTACCAGACCGTGATCAAATAGTTAATAATGCCTTTTAGCCAAAACCCCAAACCCGGCGGAGCCTCGTTCAGGGACGAGTGGGTGTGGCGCAGCTGTCACACTGCTTGACAGTTTTTTGTGGGGAGGGTATGTTTCAGTTTAGCGATTTAGACTTTTCCCTCTGGGCTTCTCCAGATGTTTATTTCTGATAATTCTTGCATTAGGCAGAAATAACTCCGCTGAATCCAAAGACTTGTAGCCTCAGGATGAAATCGTGTGTTCGCCGCAGCGATGTCTGCAGTGGGTTTTGGACTTCAGGGCCCCTGGTCATTTGTTGCAGCCCCCTGACCCCTTCCCCAGCCCGGCAGTGGGAGGGGCTGGGCGAGGTGGTGCTCTCAGTGTGTGATACCTGCTTTGTATCCGTATTAGCGTGCCCGATGGTGGTTAAGTGCCTTTAATTCCTTATTTGCTATTTGTCTGTACTGCTGGAAAGGCTCTTAGGGTAGATGTATGAGGGATCGATTTATTTTGATTGAGGAACAGGGTCCTTCTCCTGCTCACTGCCACAGCATCTCCGTTCTAGATCCAGTCTTGCCCAAAGAATGGACCTGGCTGAGATGTAAATGGCTTCACTTCTCGGGGGGAGGGGAGCACCCCAACCCCCAGACCCAGGGGCCGAGTACACGACGCGGTGCCCTCCAAGAGGGCTGGCACAAGGGGCGTGGGTGCCGGTATCAAATCTGGAGCAGGCTGGCGTGCAGGCTGCCCCTGATGTGTTGTGGAGCTTGACGAGGCGCCCGCAGCGCTCTCGGAGCTGCTGGCGTTAAGTCGGAGCCAAAATCCCAGAGTTTGGGGGGGGGATGTCTGGAAAAACATCCTTGCCGTTTTGTCCCCTCCCAAACCCTTTTGGGGATTTGCTACACAAGGTGGTGCCCCGCGCAGCGGTGCTGGGTGATGGCTGGGGTGGCCGCCTGGCTCTGGTGCCACTGGTGGCTCCCTGTGGTGCGGGGAGGGGACCGGGTGGGAAGGAGCTCCCCGGGCGGTGGGAATAAATGGAAAGAACGGGAAGCAGCTGCGAAAAGTGGGGACAGGTCCCGCGTGGAGAGAGTGTGGCTGCTTGAAACCGCCTGCCGTTTTGGGAGAGGGGCGCTGGGGGGGGCTGCAGGGCTCACGGCTGCCCACGGAGGGGGGAACCTCCGACCCCGTGCGGGGCCGGGCTTGCCGGCAGAGCCCCCTCCCGAGCAAGGGGGGGGGGGGGGGGGGGGGGGGGCTCGCCACGCTGCTGCCTCGGCAACAGAGGCCAAACCAGAACTACGGGGCAGCGTTTCTTCAGGGATTGAGCACCAGGGGTGAGGGCGCTGGCCCTCGAGGCTGCCCGACGGGCCTTGGCATCGCTGCAGAGAGCCTTGTAGCTCCTTAGCATCCAGGTCCTGCAAGCCAGCGTTAATGTGCGTTACGCCGAGGTGCGTGCAGAAGTAAATGCTTTTTTTTTTTGTGATTTTTGTCTCCCTACTACAGTGGGAAAGTCAGTCGCACGGTTTCTTCCTGCCCGAGAGGCCTCCAGAGCCCCCCGAGGGAGCCGGCAGGGATCTGCTGAGCGCTGAATCCCGAGGGGTCTGGGGGGGACGGGCTTGTCGGGGGGGGGGTCCCGGCGTTTCCTGCGGCCCTGGCCAGCTGTGCGCACAGCTGGACCCAGTGTCTGGCCGGGACTCCCCAGGCGCTGGGCCCTCCTCAAAAGACCCCACGGCAAGGTTTCATTTTGAAAATGCTTTAATAAGGAAGTGTTGACAACACTGTTTTGCAAAATGTAAAGGTAACTATACAAATTCTTAATACAAAAAGAATAAATTAAAAGCAGATCTTTTTTAATTCTGCAACTTTTTCTACAACATACATATTTTTTCCTTGATTACAGTTGAACAGAATCCAGTAAAATCATCTTCCATGCTCTAATTTCAGGAGACCTAATTTTTTTTCTTTTTTTTTTCCTTTTTTTAAACTAGAGAGTCCATTTTACACAACCTGTAATAAAACTATTGACATTAATATATATGTAAAACTTTACATCTAGTTAACTAAGCAGTAACTGGTCATCTGATAGCACCTGAATGGGGATCGGCTATGCCTGAAACTAAAACTAATACAGAGTGAAAACAAATTGGACTGTTTCAACATTTTCAACACTCGACTGCATATAATATCATTTAAAAATAAACCCTGCCTCCCAGCACGGCCCGGTGCATGGACCGTGCACCGGGCGCCTGGCTGAACAGAGGGAGTGTCAGATGTGGAGACTAAGAACGCAACTGTGGCCTCATGTCAGATGGAGCCTTGAAAAATAAAAAAGTAAAGGAGGGGTTAAGTTGGTAGTCAAGTGCTTGTGTATAATAGCTATGTATATACCCCTCCGTGTTATACTTAAATATGTTAATCTCATATGATTAACATTTTATGTACATTTGTGTTTAATTGAATTGAGCTAAACAGTAAAACCTGTTTTACTTAATCTGTCTTTACTACCAGACTGGCTGCTCACGTGTGCCTTGATTGCAAAACAGAAAAGCAGAACACAAAGCAAAACTCAATCCGTTTCTAGAAAGCTTTTTCTCTACTCCAGCCTGTTTGCAATTCAGGCTAACCATTTATTTTTATTTTTTTTTTTTTTTTTCCTAATTTCAGGGCTGCCACCTTTTAACCTTTGCTGCAAAACTGCAGATCTGGTCTTGGAGGAATTAATGTTTCTTCCTGTAGTGCCCAGAGGCCTCATAGTGCCGCTGCTGTTGAATTCTTTTTAATTAAAAGAAGGTACACAGAAAAAAAAAAAAAAAAAAAAAACAAAACAAAAAAACAAACAACCCGAAACCACTTACCAGGGAAATTAAAAAGAAAACAGACAGTTGCTCAGAGCCCCTATAAATCGGTGGGCTAAATTACTTGCTGCTGCTTAGTTTGGTCCTTATTTAATCCTTTCACTTTAGCAACCGAATCTTATCAGTAAATGTCACTTATCGGTACTATCTCTTATCCAGCTAAAAATCCAATTAGGAGCTTGAAATAATTCCCATGTTAAAGACCCCAAAGCACAAAGAGATGGTGAAAACAGCCCTGTGCACATCCAGATAAAGGGTGCAATCTCACCACTGTCTGTTCTTCCAGCAGTTGGTTACGAGGCTTCAGTTACTGGGGGGGGGGGGGGGGGGGGGTTGTGCTCCCGTGGCGATTCTTCGTGGCGGTCCAGAAGCACGAGGCTTGCGTGGCCACCTGTAAAACCCCCTTGCTGGTGTAAAAAAGTTTGGTTGTTTTTTTTTTTTTTTTTTTTTTTGTCTTTCCTGGAGGGATAATTAATTTATGCTTCACGTGTGAACGTGAAAGAGTTTTCCTTCCTGGCTCTGCCGCGGATTTTCCCGCGCAAGCCCCAGCGTCCCCCTGGCAGCGAGGCCGCGCAGCCGCGAGCGCCCGGAACCCACCCCAGCGCTTCTCCCGGGTGTTGCAGAGAGCCGCTTGCGTTCATTTTTTAGAAACCCCCCATCATCTTTCCAAGCCTAATTACGAAGAACCCGTTCTCTTTTAAACGCCTGGAATGCAGTTTTCCAGCAATCTTAATACCAAAAGGTGTGGCAGCCCCCCCAGTCCCGGTGTTTCATTTTTAAATGTTTCGCCCTACTTTGTCTGGTAGACGCTATTGTTATTCTTGGAACACACACACACACGCACACACACTCGCGCTTTTTTTTTTTTTTTTTTTCTCCTTTTTTTCTTAAACTAAAGCTAACTTCAGTTTCTGCTTTTCACAAAGTAACCCCCTCCAGCCGTTTCTTTTAATGCCTTTCCCATAGGAAATCATCGTTTGCACGCACAAACGGGGGAAGGCCAGGTACCTCCCCCCATCTAGTGGCAATAAAAACAGCATAGCACCGCAGTGAAGACTAGACGTGCCAGCTTCAACATCCACCTAGATTGTGCACTTGTTCGTTACAAAAGTGTCTTTGAGGCCTTTTTAAAGTTCCATGGCTTGACACGTATAAAGCATTGCTCAAAAGTATGTGTAAACTTGCAGCTCCTTCCGTGACGCGCTCCTACCATTCCTTTTGGTATCAGCAGGCAGCTCTCGCTGGTGCCCAACACCTAATTTCGTTGCTTCTCTTTCTTGTGGTCTCTTCTTGCAATGGGAAAATTTGCCTCGTCTGCTGGTGGTTCAGCCCCGCTGCCTGCGGAGCCTTTGGGTTTCCCGGCAGACCGGTTCTCCCACACAGCAGTACACCCTGACGAGCCCTTTGCTACACTGGTGCTAACGAAGGGAAGATGAGCGGAGCAGATGCGTTAATGCAGCTTTACCTGTCAATTAGCTTGCGATGTGCTTTCCCTTTGATTTCACTGGTAACGCTTTGTGCAGAAGTCGATCAGAATTTACTGGCTGTATCTGTTTGTAAAAAGGTTTTTGGGGCAATTTTTATCTTCATCAGAGCGTGCAAAACCAACCCCCGCGACCCCAACCTCTCTCTGTATTGGTGTGCAACCTGTGCCTGCCACAGAGATGCTGTGAGTAGCAGTACTTGCCTCTGCTTCAGGTAATGCCTTTGTCAACCTTGTTTGTCCCGTTCCATAGTAGCTTGTAGACAGCGACGCTGCGATACCAGCCCAGCCCTCCAGTGTGTCTTCAGCACGCTGGGTTATTCTACTTGCACGCAGGCGGTGGGCTCAAAGCGAGGAAGGAAACGCCGTTTTGCAGGAGGTGGTTGTGTTGGCCGTTGAGTTAAATGAGAGAGCTCTTCTGGTAGCTAGAACCTGCTGAGCAAACTCCTCCTGCCGACGTCGGTGTGGTGATCTTTGGCAGGGCAGATCTCATTGCGGGGCTCTGACACGTCTTTGAAGTGAGGGGATTTTACTGTTTCGTTACAAATGCACTTTCAGGGCTATTTCTCAGCCTCTGCCTCATTTTACTCCCCCCTCCCCCCCCCCCCTTTTAAACGAATGCTCTGTTGGCTTCAGACCGCAGGTCATGGAAATCTTAACTGCTGTTACATGCCGCCGAACAGTGGGAGTTGATGTAAGCCTTGAAGGGCTTCCATCGTTTCAAAGGAAAATCAACTTTTACATTGCTGAGTGGCCGTTCAGGTGGCTGCCGGCGGCGGCGCGGTGAGGGGACGCGCTGTGCTCTGCCGCTGCGGATGTCTCGGGGCCTGCGTCCCGTTAATGCCGCCTTGAATTGCATCGCGAGAAAAGTGCTTAGAGTTGAAGCTGGTGCTGGGTGACAGTGCATCTGGGTAAGGCAAATGAGAGGCAGTGAGGTGATCTCAGAATGGCGTTGATGTGATTAACTTGAGGTCAGGGGTTCACACTAGAGTCCCAGGCTTGGCTTTTTCCTGCCCATACCACTGGACATCTGCTAATTCTGGATAGAGGGGAGAATCCAGGAAACAGCTATCATTGTAGCTCCTGCAGGAGAAAGGAAACTCTGTTAGGACAACGAGGGCTCCTGGAAAGTTCAACCGTGGGCGTAAAGCATCATGTTATGGGTGGGAAGGAACGCAGGATATTCAAAGACCCCCGCTGCATTCTTGCAGGTACCCCCCGAACTGACATTTGGGGTGCACTCAGCATGCAGGACCCTGCTTTGACCCAGTCTGCTCTTGCCCGGCACTCCCGTTCGCCCCAGCAACCCGCCCGGTGCCAGGAGAAAGCCAAGCTCCAGCAGCCTCTCGGCGACCAGGCTGCCCCGAGGTTTGGATGCCGGCACAGCGACAGGCAGAGCTGCTGCTGTGCTCTCAGTGCTGCCTGGAGGGCGAGAGCTTGGGGCCGACCCCACCGGCTGCATCCATCCCACTGCCCGTGGCACCAGACCTGCCGGCGCTTTCTGCGTGGCCTCTTCCCTCCCCAGGTACGGCACCGTCACCCTGCCTTGCCCGCGGGGCTCTGTCTTGCTTTCCCGCCCGTTAGGAAGCTGGGCTAAGGGGATTTTGCAGCAGGATGCTCTCCAGGGAGCATGTCCTAAGAGCAGCCCTCTCGGCTGCAGGCCGTGTTACCCAGAGGGAACGTGGCAGGAATGGGGGGGGGTTGGTGCTTTCCTGCAGCACTTCTGCACCAGGCAGAGGCTCGTGCGTCGCCTGGCAAGCCCACAGTTACGTGGCTTCCCAGGGATGAGCTAGGAAACGACTCGTGAGAGGGTGCCAGGTCCAGTGTGGAAAAGCCTGTGTTTTGTTGGAGGTAGCCTAGTCCTTCATCTTGGGGCACCTCTCTTGACAAGCTCCTGCTTCCTTTGCTGCATGGCTTTTTGTTTGCCCATACCCCGCAGACGAGACAGTTTGGAGACTTTTCTTTGCTGTGTATCTTAAGAGTTCTGCTCAGGGTCAGCTCCTGGCTAAGTCTGTGGAACTCCTTGCCAGAGGAAAGCACTGAGGTCAAAATCTTGATCTTTTGAAAAGCGACTGCTATAGCTGCGTAGCAGTATTCAGAATTGACGGCTCTCCCTCACACTTTGATTTGAAACAACTTCCAAACTAGGGATTGTTTTGAGGCCAAAAGTGGGAGATGCATTTTCTTTGTTTACTGTGGGATTCTCACTTCTTCCTCAGCTCCCTCCCTGCCTTGCAGGACAGATCTTGCATCTGATGCAGCCTGGCAGTTCCTGCTTCCTCTGCTCTGTTTTCCACCTGGTTTCCCCGGGACTGGTATCTGCGAGTAACCTGAGCAAGGGCATCACTGTCTGCATGTTAAAGAGCCTTTTGTTTCCCAGCTTTGTGCGGGAGTACCGAGGTTTATGGGTTATCTCTAGAAAGCTGGGTTTGAAATACTTGACAGATGCCAGCTGTGAATGGCTGTAGATTCAAATGAGAGTGTCAGACAGCGACGGCAGTTTAATTAAAAGAGAAATACTCCGAGGGTTTTTTTTTGTTCCCTCCACCCTTCCCCCTCTGTCTTCCCACAGGAACGGGGCCAGGGTTGCTCCTCGTTCCCTGAAACCCCGCTGCTGCTAACAGCCTCTGCTTTGCAGCTCTGCTCTGCGGTAGGGCAGGAGGAGGAAGGGGTGCTGAGGGCCCTGGCTCGCAGCCGGGAGCTCAGGCCAGGTCCCCCGAGGCCCCCGTTCACACCAGCTCGTCTCCCCAGCAATCTGCTCCGCCTCTCCCCGCAGCCCTTTGCCCCCGCTGCTGCGAAATGTCCCCAGCCACAAACTGGTCGCTACCGCCTGCCCCTCGGTGCCTGTTCAACCCCTGCGGAACGCAGAGCGGGCTGGCCCGAGGTCCTCTGTCACGGGGGAAAGCGCCGCAGCCACACGCTCGCTGAAGGGGCACAGAGAGGGCTTCAAGACGTTCTTCCAAGAGCTGAAGGCAGGCCTTGTTGCCAAAAAACCAGGCACACAATTAAAAGGGCTGCTCCTCTGGGACAGCGGGGGGCCGGTTATTCGCGCTGTGGTCACAGACTATATGGCAGAAGGATGAAAGAACAAAACGTCCCCTTACTATACCTCTATTCATCAGTACTTTGGTGGGTTGGAGACTGAGACTCATCCATAGTGGGTGAGTTGTCTGTTGCTTCTCTGAACAAAGGAGAGCGAAAAGGGAGGAAAGAGGAGAGAGGAAATGTTAAAGAAAAGAAGTGACACAGACATTGTTACGAGCTTATTAATCCAGTGGGGAAACAAGTCGATGAATCGTCTTTAGAAAAAGTTAGTGACACAAAAACACATTGGGGAGAACTGTCAACCTATTGAGTTGTGCTGGGAGGGCACAGCCCGCTCTTGTAGTGGGGAGTTGGCGTCGTGCATCTAATGGCAAAGTTTATCTGCACCCACTGTATTTATACATATGCCTTGGGTGTTATGCTCAGGCATGAAATGAGTGCGGATTTCCAATTCTTTTTGCACTGGTTGTTCGTGCAGGGCCTAAGCTATAATTCTAGATAACTTCACGTTCACCATCTGAGAATTTGGCTTGATGCATTTTTGCTGTTAGAGACAGGGTGCAGGAGTTTTATTGAATGGAAAAATAAGAAAAGTTGGGATTTTCCAGATTTCTCAGCTGGCTGCTCACCAGTTTTACTTCTGATCATCATGGAGATATTTAGAGAAATTAGGATCGGGATGGAGACTGAGACTAAGATTTGAGTCTAGACTCAAACCCTTAACAGTGCAAATTTCAGTGTACAGTAAAGATAGCTGCCATTTTGCCTATCTTGTGATCCCTCAGCTTTTTGTGAAATGGAACCAGGAAAATTCTCTTGTTCTAAAGCTGGAAGCTTGTTGTTACGGTTCTCCCAATCTACATTTTAAAGTGCAGTCAGGAGCTGTGCTGGAATAAAACCAGAGGTCACACTTGGTTGTAGGTGACGAGAAAAAATTAAAGAGCATGAGATTTTCCAGTGACTGCACAGTGTTTGCACATGTTTGCAAAGTTACCAGTCCCAATTCACAACTTGGGGGATCATATCTGTTTTCCCACTCTAAGGCCTACGGTATTTGAGGACTGTAGTCTGAAACATTCTAGCTGATCTCACCAAACTAAATTTAGATGCAAAAATCCGGGATGTGCTGAGTTAGACAGGATCTGGAAATGATCTTTATTTCATGTGGCAGGACAGAATTACAGGAGATTGCTAGAGAATACCCATAGGAGCTTGCAAAACGCTTTCTGTTTACTCCTGGAACTGCCTGCCTCACCTAGAGGTGCCAGAGAACCCAATTATTATATTTACATGAGTAATGGCTACCTGCATGTAATGACTCACACTTTGGTGAAGCATGTTAAGTTAGTGGCAGCTGAAAAAAAGATGCACTTAATAGTCATTAAGACACATTGCTAGGGAAAACCTAGCAGAAAAACGTGGTTGCTGCACACACAAATATGGTAGGCACCTAACCTTGCCTTTACAGCAAAGATCTGCTCGGTCTGGACAGCCGGAGTGATGGCTGCTAAAAAATAAGATCAGCTATTTCGACATACAGAAAATTGGAGGAAGGAGAGTGCCCAGGCAGGAAGAACCTGCAAGATTTCTTTCCCTGTGCTGGGAGCAGTGCTGCTGGGTGCGGATGGCACGGCCGTGTCCTGGTCAGCCTCACCTAGAGCTCCACTGCCACGGGTGGGAGGCTGGAAATGCTCTGTGTGGCTACAGAGCACCTGGAAAATGTTTCCCATACCCGTGCTCTCCCTTGGTTTGCGAGCCGGGAGGTTGTTCTCACTGGCACTGAGCGAGGTGAATTCTCTAACCCGATCCCACCGACACTCACCCAGTCTGCCACGTGAGAATGTGGTGGGGACTGCCCGGCGGCGTGGCTGCTAGTTCACTTGACGGTGTCGAACTCCTCTGGCTGTGAGGTAAGGCAGCTGAAAAACAACCAAAGGGTGGGCAAAAACAACCGGTGAGGGGAGGGCGTGTGGGTCAGGGTGGTTCAGAAGCTGGTCAGACCACCAGAAACATGTCCGGCTGTGAGTGAACACGGCCTGGGAGTCAGACCTCACCCTGTTCCTGGATGGCTGCGCCCGATCGCGGCACAGGAGCAGCCAGCCTGCTGCTGACACGGCGGTGTGTCACGGGCTGGCTCTGTCCTCAGCTCTGCAGGCATGCTTTGTTTCAGCCCGGGCTCTCCTGAGCCTGCCCGGGAACACTGCACCTCTCCCATCGTGAAAGCGAATCAGTTTTGGTGCTGCCTGGACAGGCAGGGCCTGGCTGCACGTCTCCACGGGAGCCGAGTCGGAGGAGCCCGGCCTGTGAGGCTCAGACTCCTGCTTCCAGGGGGGGTGGGAGGTGCTCTGTGCCCCTCCGAGCCAGGGCTGGCACTGGAGAGAGTCTGGGCAATTACATTGCTTCATGTGCAAAGGAGGAACAAAGCTCTGAAGATTTCAATGCCTACAGATGCCTTTCACTGTGCTGCTGTAATGAAGTGAAGTTGGGCTTCGCTGACCCTACCTACTACTATGGGACCAGAGGAAAGCTTATCTTACTTCAGTGAAGATAGAAGCAAGCTGAACTAAAAATGTACTCGGCAGTGGTTCTCGGGGGAGTTTCCCTGGTGAGAGTCTAGCTAAGAAATCCACCTGACTGATCTTTCCTCCTCCTCAAGTCCATACACTGTTGACCCTTCAAATTGAATATACGCCTACAAGTATGATCCTCTTTGAAGGACAGCATGAAGTCCAGTAGACATATCAGCTAGGGCTAATCAGCTAAAATGATGGATGTTTCTACCTGGCATCCCCTTCTCTGCTGTTAAATGCTTTAGCTGCTGCCAGAGCGACACTTGGGAGAGAAAAACAAATTTTAATCTGCTCCTTGGAGTCGATAGCCCCCAAGGTCAGTGTCCTCCCACAGCTGTAACTGGGAGCTGACTCTGAATGCAAACCCAATCTGTGCTGCCAACTGGTCATGAGCTGCTGCGATTATTGAGCACACTTGCCCCTGTGCTGCCCAGATACCACATTTAGATTTAATGACCCAGCTGGGGAGGGGAATGGACCGATCGACAGCAGTTTCTACATGCTGTCCCCCAAACCTCACCCTTTTCCTTTCTAGACTACCTAACTGAACTAGTACGGTTTCTAACACTAAGCAAGGCAGAGCTTCCCACTGTTCAAGTATTTTCTGTCGCTGGGTGGAACAGAAATGCCCGTTAATCAAAGCGGGGGGGAAGACAGATTTTCAGATGGAGACACAGGATGGTTCCAGCAGCTACTTGATTGTGTCTTAGCCCACATCTGGGCCTCCTACGAGCATTGGCATCACACATAAACCAGCCTCTTCTTGGGCAGCTGTTGGTAGCCCACGAGTGCCTGGTGTCAAACCGCCTCCGACTCCGCGCCGGCAGCGAGTACAGAGCCCCACTGGTGTCAGCGTGGTGGTCACCGCGGGCCAGGTGCCATGCTGGGATGTCAGAAGGCCAAGAGCCAGCACGAGTGGACGATGCACTGCTCTGCTCTGGGAGGCTGCGAGGGCCTGCAGTGGGCAAGGCTGGAGTAAGGGTGTCTCCCACGCCAAGGCTGAGGCGTGTGGAAGGGTGAGGATGGGCATGGCGCAAACTGATTAACCAGCAATCCTGTCCACGTGGGGCTGGATTCAGGTTTTTAGCAAGTTCTTGATCTATCCAAACTGGCTTGTCCAGCAGTGACTGATGGCCAGTAAATATTTAACCTTGGACTGTTTCATAACACATAGTGGCCTCCTCAGCTTAATGAATTTGACTGTTTTCTTACTATTTAATATTAACAGCACAGAGGAGAGCAAAGCTCTGCACATGACAGAGAGGTGTATTACTGCACAAACTTAAGTGCTCCGAAATTCAGGATATTATCAGCAGAGTTACTCGGGCTGCCTGGGAAAACCAAGTCTCAGCAGTGCACAAAGATGTCATCGCTCAAACATTTTTGGGGGGGGTGGCGGGGCTGGGATGCTCTCTGCTTAACCTTTCTCATGCTTTTGGTGTTCCACTGACTTGCATTCGCCTAGTGTGTGCTGAGCCCCTGCTTGCCACGATTACTGAGAGCGACACACCCCCATGGTTTTTCCACAGTCGGCCCCTGGTGCCATTACCCAAAATCCAACTGCGGTCTGAGGAAAGACCGGGCAACAACAGGGCTTCGGTCCCGCCCTGTCTTTTGAGCCCATCGTTGCAAAGTGATGATTTCCATGGAAAAAAATGATCACCCGATGAGTGTCTCAGACAAGGCTTTCCCCCCGGTGTTACAGGCTTGGTGAGCAGCACGTGAAGGCCAGGTAACGCGCTGCGGTCTGGCGCCGCTCTCCAGCCGGGCTGTAACGCCTGGCACCGATCTGGGCTCCCGTCCCCCTTCCTGCCCCTCTCCCCGGGCCCGGCTCTCACCTGATGTTGCTTTACACATCTGAGGCATTCTCGTGACCCGGCTGTGCGCCACAAAGGTGCTTTGCGAAGATGTGCTGTACTGGGAGCTGCTGTCCGAGGAGGTGGAGCTCGTGTGCGAGAGGCGGCTGTGCTCCTTGTGGGAGGCCGTGGACCGCTGGTACCAGAGCCGCAGCTCGTCCGACACGGCAGTCCGACCCGAGCCTTTCTCAGGGCCTTCCCTGCCCAGAGATGGAGTCCTTATGATTTGGGAGCGGGAGGGGGTGAGCCTGACAGAGTCTACTTCATCCCCGTGCCAGTTCTCCTTAAACATCCCCCCCGCCGTGTAGGAGTTGGAGGTTTTGAATTGTGCTTTCACGCTGTAGTGTCCCTCCTGGTCGTTCTCCAGGCTCCGCACCACCACGGGTGTGGAGCTGCCCTCGATGTACAGGGGATACTCTTTGATCCTGTACTGGGAGGAGGGCTGGCTCTGGCTGTGCAGGTAGACGCGGTGGTGTCCCGTCCCGTTCCTCGCAGCCAGGTTGGGCATACTCCCTGAATTGGAAGAGACCAGGTTGCCTGCCGATTTGTGCCTTTGCCTCTGCCGCTCTCTGGCTTTCGATGGGGAGTCCTCTGCCAGGGTGGAGTAGTTGGGGTTCATCTGAGCAGGGTAGTAGTGCTCAGAGCTAGAATGGCTGGTGCAGGAAGAGCAGTCGTCCATGGGGTCAGAGCCGTTACTGCTACGAGTCCTTGGGGTGTAGAAATCAGGGCTCCCTGTCTCATTTTCTGAGCCGAGGAGCTTGCCTTGTGACTCCAAACTGGAGCTCCGGTGCCTAAAGTGCTGAGCTAAGCTGTGCAGTCTGGTCGGGCTGATGTCTACTGACCTGCAGGTACCAGGAAAAAAAATCCAGGCTGTTAAGTCAACAGGATGAAGCACTTTTCCATCCCCTTCTGCACACAACGGCAGCTCCACAGGCAAAGGAATCTGAGGGCACTGAAAGCCTGGACCCCTGCAGCACTGTGTGGGGCTGCTGGCTTCAAAGCAACCTGCTTCCCTGCTGCAGGGTTTGGGGCAATTCGGTCCTATTCCAGTTCCCTTCCAGTCTCCTTGGTAGCAGCATTGCGTCTGCTGCACCATGTGGGATGTAAACCCTTGCCCAGCCCGATTCCTCTGTGGATTGCCACCCCGGGAAAGACCCAGTCTGAAGGGAAAAACCTGGCGACCTCAAGCCCCAGCTTTGCTGGCGCAGCCCCATGGCAGAGCTGTTTGGATCAGCACCGTCCTTGTGCTACCAGGTTCACCTTGCTCCAGCTGTGCAAATCCCAAGACCCCAGCCTCAAAGGTGGTGGGATTCCCTTGCAAGCGGCCTGTGAATGCCCTGCACAGGTACCCAATGCACCTGGTGTCAGACAGGCAAACAGACAGATGGCCCATACTTAGCCCTGAATACAGTGATTTCCCCACTGGTTGTTGAAGGCAGCTAGGTTTTACTGGGGCTCAGCCGTGAGGAGCATATGTAGGACTGTCAGCGGGTGACAGCCTTGTAAATTCGGGGCAACCACCCCGAATTTACAAGGCTCGATTCATGGCCAAGTCTGGGTGGTCTCTATTCACCCCGGCTGTTTGGTGAGCTTCAGCCATCTGTTCCAAGGAGCAGGAACACCCCGCAACGAGTCACACCCCCACATGACAGACAGCCAAGGGCAGGGCACGCAGCTCATGAATGAGCCACAGACTGAGCAATGGTTCTTTCAAACCCCCAAATGGTCCCTACCCGGTCAAGGCCACTTCTCAAGCACTGTGCCAGGCTCGTTTCTCACGCAGCTCAGCTCCAGTGTTAACAAACGTGCTCTTGAAAGGTACTCTCGGCCAAAAACTTGTAACAAACTTAACCTAAGACCTTAATGTCTTGTATTGGCTCTGCCCAAGTCAGCTGTGTTGGCATGACTCTTGATTTATGCCGAGCTAAATGATAGCAGCCTTTCCCCTTAGGGCAGAATACCTAAGAGCACAAAGCTTTGGCTCAGCTCTGCAGCCCGCAGTGTCCATGGAGTTTGCTACAAGAGCAAAATAGCAATGAAGCTGAACAGTTTGTAGAAATCCTGCTGAAAACTAGAGTCGCACATCCAAATGCCTCCCTCGCACACTTCAGCTCTTTCCTTTGTCAACCCTGGGCTTATTCCACTGCCACCTGGATACTCGGGTGGATTGCTTTATACAGGCTCTCTCTCCATGTAAGATCACACATGTGCGAACATTTTATCTAGGAGAGAGAATTAACATTACCCAACATTTTGTATCCGACAGGAAACAACATGTTCTCTCCAGCTGGATCCACGGGAGGAATTTACTGCAGAATTTAGCAGTAGCACCACATCCCTTTTAAAAGTGGCATGGAGTTTGCAGTGCCTACAAACAGTCCCTGAGATGAAAGGTCCCAGCGGAAGAAAAGCTTGATTACTTTGAAGGAGAGATTAGGGGCAGGATCACATTTATCTGAAGTGATTTCAGGATCTCAGTGCAGGAGATTCCCTACTGGCAATGGTGCATGAGCCTCTGATGTGAATAGGACTGGTTTGTGTTCTTTCCTGAAATATTCATATCCTGGGGGAAGGCTAAAGCAAAGAGTATTTATTTCAGGGTAAGCAAGGTGAGGCTGGATCCGGAAAGACTTACCGTGTGGAGTGGACGTAGTGTGGACTGCGTACCCGTAGATCCGGCGTCGATGGCATGCTGGACTGGGAGTTCCAGTGGGGAAGGCTCCGGATGGGGCTGTTCTGCAGCGAGCTGCTCCCTCCTGCCTCAGCACAGCTCCCAGTGCTGGGGAACCGCTTGTGACTGCTGCAGAGCAAACACCCTGCTTCAGTTCCCGGGCAGGAATTCGGGGAAGGGGCTCCCCACCCCTCTTTCCAGATCTCAGGCGTGTGCCTGTGATCTCGTGGGGGTGAGCGGGAGCTGGATCAGCTGCTGCTCTGAGTTGCATGCCAGAGCTTGTGCTTCTGCAGTAGCCGGCGGTCAAGGTGAAGCCCCATCAAAGCCCTCAGGTGATCCACCGTCATCCTTCCTTTCTCAATGCTTTCTAAAATATCACTGAGATACCAAGCACCAGTCATGGGAGCCCAGCCTACTTTTTATCACATGCCTGTTGGCCGAAACACCTAAAAGCCTCCTTCTGGTAAGGGACAGATCTGTAAATTTTGAAAGGCCTCCCACCCATCCCTCCCGGAAGCAGGGGATGTCTGTGTGATGCGGCTCCGAGATAGCTGGCTCACCTGGAATGACTGTGAGAAGAACGTTTCTTGACCTTCTCGTAGGGTTCATCCAAGGATGACTCGCTCCACATCTTGGGTTTGATGGGGGACTTGTCATAGTCGTTGCGGTGGTAATGCATTTGGCGGAGGCCTTCCAGCGACTGCGGAGGAGGAGGCCTGTTGTGCAACGGTGGCCGGGGAGGGAGTCCTTTGTGCGGGGACTGGAGAGGGGATATTGTGCTGGTGACCTGAGAATCTTCTGCGAAGAGAAGGGAGAGAGGTGATGTGTGACACCTCCGATGGCAGCACAACCCCAGGGGACACCATCGCACCTTTGGAGCCTCCTTCCTTACCCCACGTCCCCTGGTTCGTTCAGGAGCAACCTGAAGACCTGACTTGCAGAAGTGTGCTGGCTGACGTTCCCATTTTGGGAGGGAATGGCCAGAAAGAGTGTGTGATGCATTAAAACAACTGAAACCTTAAGAAAAAACAAGGGGGCATTCTGGGACTGTCTATTGAAAGACTTCAGAGCAATAACCACTGCAGTACTCACCGCTCCAGGCCTGGTATCAGACTACAAGGTAGAGTCAGGGGAAACCAAGCGTTATCGCTACTGGGGTGTTTGAGTGGATTATTACACAGAACAGTTCCTCCATTTTGAGTGTCAATGAGGAGTTTGCACATCCCTCCCTGTTTCCCTCCTGCCCTCTAGAACATGCAGCAGCCAACATACCATCCTCGAGAACAAGGGCATCTGAGAGGGAGCTGTCTTCACTGGCAATGTTTCCTTCTGAAGGGAAGAAAATATAAAGATGATCAGATGGTCCTGAGAATTACAGTGACTGAGTCCTAAACTGCACCATGATCTTCATCCACTGAGTCTTAGCCTTAAGCAGTCACCCACATCTTCCTCCTCACATAGCTGAGAGGCAAGATTCCTATGAACAACTGACTCAGCCCACTCTCTGTCTTGGAGGGCAGAGCTGCAGGCCAGGTCTCTCACTAGCAGGCTGCCTTTCAAGGAGCTTCTAAGTCTTTTCAATTAATGAGGATTAAGACTGAGTCACAACGGAGAGCTGAGATCCCCAGAGGATGCAAAACGGCATGGTGCCATTAGCAAGATTTACATCTCGGGCCTTTAGGACTCTGGGTTTGATCTCCACCTTCTCAAAATGATCATCCTGTTGCTAACTAAAGGCCCACACTAGGTACTGGGTTTGTGCAATTCAGGGAAACGCTTCCAGAGCATCCTCTAGCAGCAGGAGAAGCTTTCACGTCCTTGGCATGCACATGCCTGAGCTGCCTCCCCCATCCCGTGTCCTTATGGCTGTCTGTTATCCCTGACTGCTGTGCAACTTGGTACCCAGGTCACAAATGCAGCGGCTCTAATCTCAGTTCCTGCTACAAAGGCAAAGAGAAAAGCTCTGCAAGTCAAAGGGAAAGGGCAAAATCGGCAAGGGAGAAAGAACCACAGCAGAAAGTTAATGGATTTCATGAAAAACCAATCAACAACCCAGTAAACCATAAAGTGCTCTGAGAATTAGATTGTAAAGAAAAAGAAAAAAAGCATTTAAACACAGCAATGACACTGCTACCACTTTGATTTTACAGATGCCTTTCAGCTAGAGAGCTCACCCCAATCTGCTAACATTAATTACATTTGTACAGCACCACTCCGGAGGATATGTTAACAGAGCAATTTTATAGGTGAACAAAGGAGACACAGTTTGCTTTCCTGACACGCTTACGATCTACAGCGTGACACTGCAGCTTGTGCTGTGAAGCAGCACATCCCCAGTGCACAGCAGACGGCCCGGACACCCATCTGACAGCACGCTGGTACGGGAGGGCACAGCCCAACTGCCAGCCCCTGTGGAGTCCTCCAGAGAGGAGAGGGAAGAGGAGGGAGGGCAAATCTGTGCCCCAGGGCAAGAATTTTGCTCCCTGCCCTCCACAGCCCCTTCTGTGATGCCGTGGGTGCTGAGTCCCACTTACCATCTATGATCAGGGAGGCTCTCTGGGTTGGCTTCTTTCCAGACTTGATGCGATATTCATTGATGGCGTTTTCGATCTCCTGCAGCTTCTTCAGGGCGTTCAGGTAGGAGGTCTTCCGCTGTTTCTTCAGCTTTTTGCTGACGTTCGGGTCACTCGCCAGGCGCCGGGCAGCCTCCGTGATCTGGGACTGAATGGCAAACTCCCTCTCCAGGCGCTCCAGCTCTGCCTCCTGGGGAAAGGCAAGTGGATTCTGGCTACCACCAAACGCTCCCGGCCCAGCTATGAGGAAGTTCCCGCCGAACCTTGCCAGCGGCCTCCAACCAAGGCTCTCCATCAGCAAATCATCCATGATCACGCTGCTGCCCTCATCTCAGGGCCTCTCTGACCATACCCATCTCACCTTCACCTGCTCACCTGCGTGCCTGGGAGCACAGCTGCTGGAAGGGATGACCCATACAAGGAGGACACGGGTGCTCCAGCCCTAACCCTGCTGTGCCGTTTGGCTTTTCACGCAGTTCAACACGGCCTAGTTCAACAATGTTCTACTGCTGACACGTTCACCCTTTTACACCCATCTATGGGTAACACCTGCCTCCCACACAGACCTTCTCCCTGCTTCCTAGCTCCTTATTTGAGGCCCATTTGATATCAGTGCTATGTATTGATGCAAAGCTACAGCTTTAACCTTGTTGACAGGTTTGCTTGGCACCCACCAAACTCTTTGGGGTAGGAAAGTCAAAAATGGGCTAATTAATCCCAGGTGCAGGGCTGTCAAAACCCAGGGGAGAGTGTGAGCTGAAGGAATTATGGGCTGCTGCAATTGATTGCACCAGAAAATTGTGTCCTCGAGTTACAAGCCAGGAGGGTGATTTCAGAGCAAGCAGTGTGTAACAGCAAGCTTTCTGTATGCCAAAAAGGACTAGTGTTTCCAACATTAGCCCTTGCAGGGTCTCAGTTGCACTTTTAAATGCAACCTGGTGTACCTTGGAAGCTGCCTACTGATTTTCAGTTATCCTCTAAAGCCAAGGGATTTAGGCCAATTTATGACAATGCAGATGCTGATACAGAGCTTCCTGGTCTGCACTGGGACTCCAAGCTGTGAGCTTCAAAGGCTAATCTGCAGTGGGTCTGGCTACCTTCCCCAGCTTGATGGAGCTTTTGGTGTTAGTCTGCTAGAAAGGGGAACACAGTACCTTGCCAATTAGGAAAAAATTGACAAGCTTTTTTACTTCTAGTGAAGGCTGGTTGTTCAGATCGCAAGCACTGACAGTCATATACACATGGAGATCCCTGTTACGCAAATTCAAACCCTTTCTCCTTGCTTAGCAGCAGCGTATGCTGCATGAGTTGATGTTGTGGGAAATAATCAAACTGAAGTCATTCTCTGAAGATTTTATTCCACGATTCTGGCTGAAAAAAAATATCCTTTCCCTGTCAGTGGTTTGTCAGCATTGCCTTAAAACTATAATTATAATTTCCCTCACTTTACTGAAGACTGAACCCACCCCACATCTTTTTAACAGATTCCTTTTTGCTTTGAAAAGTTTATAAGCTATATCAGTGCCAAACTTATTAAAAGTTAATTAAACACCACAGAGTTTTAAGGCCTGGGACCTGATTTTCCATCTTATGGTAAAATCCTTCCCAGAGTCAGGAATTACGGACCAAGTAGAGGCAATTACCAAGAAATACAATAGGACCCACAATAGGACCCTTCCCTGCAAGTCTTGCTCTGACAAAGCTCTTACTAAAGGTACAGTGAGTTTGATGTGAACATCATTTCAGACCTTCACAGATTCAGTTCTAAATCATTCAGGATATCTTAGAAAAAAATATTAATTTTCCTCAGAGCCATAACTGTCTATTTGCTTCCACTGAGGCCCCTATAAATAAAGTCTCAGAAAATGAGGGCCATCATCTGCCTTCAGATGGAAGTGCCTTGATTCAGGTCCTTGTCACAGTTGGTAATACCAGTCCTGAATTTACGTGACTGAGGGAGTATTTCACCTTTTGTTTTAAACTGAGTTTCTAGTGTTTGCACTTGTTGAAAAGTGGATGAAAATCATCACTGGCCTCTCTACATGTTCTCAAACTGCCAGCCAAATAAACACAGCTCGACATCATTCTTCGAGAACAGAAATTTAAGGTTTTCAACAGAATCTTAAAGTTTGACAGATGAAAACGGAGGTAGAGAAAAGCTGAGTCAGCATGTTTGGATTGCCCATGCCAAAAGGCAGAGTGCCTGCTGTGGGGAGGAGCTGCTTTACCTTCATGCTCTCCCCACCTAACCTTGCCACTGGAGTAAGGAGATTCCTCACTCGCTGGCCCCAAAAGTTGCTTTGTAGCAGTTAAGATCTGGGGAAGCTGGAGATCAGGTTATAACTGAGCAGCCAACAGACTGCAGGGGTTTTAGGAGTAATTCAGCTAAGCCGTGCTTCCCTTTGAAAAGCTTAATTAAATGTGCTAGTTCATGAATATTTGACTTTGGTGGAATTCCTCTCCCAGGCTCCATTGAGAACAAAACTAAAGAGCTCCAGCTGTTTATTTTTTCAGCAGAAGGAAAATGCCAACAAAACGACAAATAGTTAATTCCCTGGCTGAACTGAGCCTTAAACCACACAGTCACACCAGCTTCAGTCTCTCCTCTTACAAAAATAAAAAGGAAACTCAAGACTGGAGTATACACAAGTGTCTTGAGACAAATGTGTCTCTGCAGACAATAGCTTTCCTGTGAATCCGGTCCCGCCTTACAGCTGCTGCAGGGCTGTTTTCACAGCCACGGTTCAGGGCACTGACCCAGCACATTGTGGGAGCAAGGGAAGAGAACAAACACTCCCTGGCAAACTTAGAAAAACATAATTCCAGCTCCCCATAGGTAGGGATGAAGGCTCTTTTGTTTAAGGACTGGGGAGCAAAATGCTTTCATCTTGCTATTGCAGGGCTAAGATGGATAATTGTGATGTTTTCTCCCCAGTTAGGGGAGATCTGAATTCGGATTGCTACTGAAGCAGAAAGCAAGTGGCTGTTTGTAATGACAATACAGGGCAGCAGCAGGGCTCAGATGGCTCAAAAGGCTCCTGATGTGCTCCCTACTCACACAGGTCACCACAGTACTTGGACTGTTACGGTCCAGTTGGTCACCCAGGTTATTTCTGTTAGCACTAGCAAAGCCAGGGCTGAACCTTGAGGGTTTCACCTTTACTCCAAGTCTGAACTAAGGCCAACTCTCTCACTGCTTCCCCATTCTGATGGTTAAAAAAAAAAAAAAAAAAGGCACAGTGACCAACTGAAATAATTTAAAGCAAAAATGACTGTAGACTGATGTTTCCTGTGTGATGCACGGTGGACATCTTAGAGACCTGAGGTAGGGACACAGGGCTGGAAGGGAAGGGCACAGCCTCACCTCTCCCTTAGGCAGGATTTTCTGCTCATCCAGTTTAAAGGCAGTTCCTATTCTTCTCCTTACAATAGGCGGCTCCTCCCCAGGATCTAAGGGGTATTCTCGTGGCAGCTTTCCTGTGAGCTCCTGTAAGCAGAAAATGCTGTTAGTGATCGGAGAAATCCTGTAGCAGAGCAAAGCACAACACTGCTCTTGAACTGTGACCATAAAATGACAGGTGTTCATTAACAACATCCCCAGTTCAGGTCGCTGAAAAACATACAGGAGAGCACCCAGCAGTGCAAACTCATCCCAGAACCTGACACTGAGGGCGGGGAAATTTTCTTTATCCTCTGCATGAATACAGATTTTTGTGGCCTACCCAGGGTAGCTCTATAGGTGGTGCCCATCCCTAGGGCGTTGGGGCCTGAGGCTGAACACACTGCAGCACACATCCTTTAATCTCTGCTGCAGGGTGAGCAGGAAAGAAGAGCTTCTATCTGCTGAGCTACTTATGAAAAGGGAGGTGAGCAGATCCAAGAGCCTTCATGCAGGATGCAGGTCTGCTGAGTCAGAAAGCCCCACTGGCAACAGCTGTGCAGGTTACAACCCGCACAGAAAAACATTCCCACCTGATTCATGATGTGTCTGAGAGGAATGCAGTGAAAATGGTCACTAAAAGCAGTTCCCAGTACCTCATTACCTGTCTGATAACACTTCATGTATCAGAGCCCCTTCCAAACCCCAGTGATGTCATGGGCAGCCTCGGAGCAGTATTAGATGATGCTTTGTCAGACTGATAGGGCTATTTGCAAAGATTTGTTCAAAATCTGAAGCAAACCCCACAGAACTGAAGGGAACACAGGAAGCAGCGAGTGCCACTGATGATGTTAATGCTGTCGGTTTTTTCCCTTGGACTATACAATACAGCCACACATATCTGAATTGAAGGCATTCAAATGCCTACAGAAAAAGGCAGGAGCCTCACCATGAGCACAACCCCACTCCTTGTACTCAAAAGTCTCCCCATGAAGGACAAAAGGCTTTTGTGTTCCTTAGCATCAGCCTTGAGAGGATCCAGCTGGCAGAGTAACCTAAATCATCTGAATCCCAAAGAACAGCAGCTGACCTTAATGCGAGTGCACAGCTCAGGCCCCTGCCTGCCCTGGCCTCTTCCCTGCTCCCTAATGGGGTTTTTCTTTCTACTCTTTTCAGATCACTAGGAAACAAGGACCTGGCCTTTTCAAATCCTTCCTTTAAGCAATTCCCAGGAAAATGGGTTTGCAGCACAGCTCTGTGCCAACACGCGCAACTCCCTTTTGCAGGAGGCACTGTTGCAATGTCTCAGAGTCCCGTTCTGCACTGCCCCTCCAGCCCTGTGGGGTTATTTCAGCTTTTCTTCCAAAATGTGTTCCTCCTAGTGATATGTGGCTCTAAGCACTGCAAACAGACACAGATTCCTGTATCCCTTCATGAATGAAACAAGGATATGTTCTTTATAAGCCCTAACTTAATATGAAGCAGGGCAGTGGGGAAAGAGTTAATATCTTCTGTAAAATGATCAAGAATGGAGCAGAACAAAATTAATGTGGGCTACCATGCTGCCTCCATAAGCTGAAAAGTATTCACAGGCACGGTCCTGAAATGTAATCTAAATTAATAAGTAACTGGAGTAGTGATGGCCCTAAGTAACCTAATGCCACTATTATGAATGGCTCTGGGCATGCTTATTTGATTATGCCCCCACTTTTAACCCTTTTTTATCTCCTGGTTTGCTGCCTTCTCCTTCTGTTTTGGCCATTCCCATCCCAAAGCAGAAAGGACGAAAGGCAGCCTGAGAGGAAATACTTCCAACTACAGGCTGCTGCTGGATGAGCTGTAGGGTTGTGAGACGGGGTCAGATTCCAAGTGTCCATCAACTGCCTCTCTTGGCTCACCTACAGAAGGCACGAAGACTTTCTACCAGCTCTTAAGGTGCTGACGGATGGGCTCTGGCCAGCCTTGCTGCAGCACATTAAGGAGACATTGCAGGAGTTTTTGCTTGCATCCCAGTTGCTTGTGAAGTGCCTGAGGCTGCACCGCAGCTGGGGCTGGGGTTAAAGAGCAAAGGCGCTGGGCTGTGAGCTCCTGCAACTGTGGCACAGGCACATCCTCCCCTGCATTCAGTGCTGCTGCAAGGGCAGAGTTTTAGCTTAGGGTGGTAAACACCTCCAGGGCAAGGAAAGCCCTCCAGACCTTGTCCATCAGTCCCTGAAGAGCACGTGACTGCTTCCTGCAGATGATTTTAGCTCTGTACTTGATGCACTTACAAGACGGGATCTGGTCCTGAGACCTTTATCAGCACAAGTTGTTTGCTTGAGTCAAGTGGGACTTCTCAGGTGGGAAAGGATTGCTTGTGTGGAGTAAAGGATGGGAACTGGGGCAGCAGAGATTTCTGCTGAATTTCTTTGTTGAGAGGTATTTCCCACAACTTATTTCTTGTTGGTGTTAAAACTACAGACTAATTGAAACAGAGTGCAATGAGAACTGAATCGGTGACCTATTTCCCCCATTTTTGTCGAAGGCAAGATACACATCAAATATTAAGCAACAACTGGAAGATCTTGGTGCCACTGTCTGCAGCCAACTTCCTGTTGTGTTACACATCATGATTTGTTGTTGAATTCAGATTTCAGGTCTGGTAAACAAAGGAGAATTGCTGAATGACACAAGTGTACGCTGCTGCTAATCTCCACACACATCTGCAGCGGGGTTGTGACTTCCCCAAACATTAATTTCATCTCTAAACTGGCCTCCTGTGTACTCCAAGAATGAACTGGCAAGTGAGTGGGAAGCTTATGAGTTCCTGAGCTGTCCTGTGTGTCCTGGGATGACCACGTGGTTCTTCACCGCAAGGTCTGCCACCACACTGCCATTCCTCCCCAGCAATGCCAGAGCCTATTGGATGAAGGGAGCCTACATGGAGCAGATGAGACCTTGTGTGCTTTAAGAATGTGCTGGGAGAAGAAAAGCACATAAGGTCAGGCCGGCTCCAAGAAGAAAATGTTATCAGCCTGGGTTTTTTTTCGCTAATGAAGTCAAAAGTATTTGGAAGTGATTACCAGTACACTAGACAGCATTCCTATGCCACTTACGTAGCTGCATATTCCACCAAAGTCAGTAAAAAGCCCGGCTGAATGCATCTTAAACACAATTTCAAACAGCAGACATGGCTGCTGAGCACCCTCCTAGCCCCAAGCTGGCTGGGTACCCAGCTCACATGGAGTCCCCTTCCAAGTGGGAGAGAAATGTCCTGTGACATTGCAGCCTGGAGTTGAAACAGCTGGACCTTCCTGAGGCCTCTGTACAACGGGCTTTGCAAGAGGTGACTATGGGAGGAATCTCTTCTCCTGACTCCACACCACCTCCACACAACAAGCATGCTATAACAATGCAAGCAACAGAGTGTTACAGGTTATAAAACATCCATTGCCTACCGCTTCTCGGAGACACAGTTTCTTTAGCTCTTCCAAGCGTTGGCGCAGCGTCTCTTCCAAAGCTTCTTGCCTGGATTTCAGTGCAGCCAGCATGTCTTTCTTGGCAGACTGAGAACTATCTGACTCTTGGGAACCTATCAATAAACAATGATTTCACTAGGCCAGCTGACAGCAGAATACACATCTGGAGCACTTGTAATTTTACCAAAGCCTGGATGCAGTCTTTCCCCAAAAAAATCAGACTATGACATGAAGCAGGTGTTATACAGTCATGTTTGTTTACGGCAAATTCTTAATATTTAAGCTAACAGACAGAGATTGGACAGTGGGGCACACAAAGACATTTGGAATCATTATCCAGAAAAATAAAAGGAACAAAATTCTTCATGTAAAGATCCTAGAAAAAAAAGACATATGATTCCCATTAAAGTTCCCAATGGCAAATAACAGTATGGTTTATGAAGCCCTGGAGATGCATTTTTGGGAAATTAAGCCTAGGAGAAACCATTTGACAATACAGCCTACTTCTTAAGAACTGCAATTATACTGGTAGCAAACATTTAATTCAATCCACTTACAGTGTCTGTTCTATGAAAAAATGGAATGGAACAAAATTACCTAGCAAGATTCCTGTAAAACACATCAAAACAACAATAACTCATAGGTCCTTCTGGGATAGTAGCCATTCTTGTAAAGACGTAAGTCAGGATATTTAAACTGGATGTCCAAATGGCTTGACCTTTCAGGTGGCATTTACCCAGCAACTTCCATGGAGTATGTCCATGCATTAAGTCAGACTCTGTTGCTCAGATGTCATGACAGCATTTGTAACTTCAGCTCTTTAGGGGAACTTATTGATGGCGTTCCTGATTTTATTTTGGTTTGGGATGGTGCATCAATTGCTATCCAAGATCTAGCATCTCAAAGTAGAAGCAACGCTTGTTGCACCTATTTTTGGGTCCCCAACTTGAGCAGCTCATTTCTCAGGATGTGCTTAGCATTCACCCTCTTTAATACACATCTGGGCTCAGGGATGAGTTTACAGTGAAGGCACTACTTTGCTCCGATCACCTTGTTTCCATAAGCCAAGTGCATCTTTCCATCACGGAGTAAGGACATGAAGGTTATGGCCATACTGTGAGATGAAAAGCAAGCTCAAGAAGGGATGAACGCCATCTCTACATGCTTTTCACTCATACTACTGTATGAGTGTACATACAGCTGTAGTTCAAAGCATCCATCTTAGTTTTATGGAAAGTTGAGTTCTGATATCTCTGGTGGATTCAGGGGTAGCATCCCGTGTCTGTCCACAGGTGACACCGAGCTACACCTCCACACACTCTAAAGCTCCACCCCACACACAGCTCTGGAGCTCAGCCTAAGTCTGAATCTGATCACTTTTTAATAAACTCTATAGCTGGTGTTGAGCTGGGCTGAACAAACGAGGCTGCTGTGGCTAAGGGGTTGATGTTCCCTGAACAGAAGTGTCTAGGTGATCTAAAGCATCTGAGATGTCTTCCACAGGGTGGCAGATATGATACAGGACCCTGTGAGACCCACACTCTTTTGGACTGTCAGTGAGATACTCTAACCCATCTAAAATGGCACCAGACACCTATGTTTAGACAGCTGGATTGTGCACAGTGCATCGTAAGGACTTCTTCTTGTGGGGTACTGCAGGTTTATGCCTGCAGAAAAGCCTTTGATTCGGCACTGCTTTCAAAGGGGTTCCTCCTAGTCCTCAGTGGTTCCTCAGTGGTCTCAGCACCCAGTGTCTCGGGGTGACTCTGGGAGGCTCCCCTGCCCCTCTAGAGCAATGGCACAGAGAAAGCAGATCTTTATTATCTGCAGGAGTCAGATACAACAGCATGCTACACGGAATCTTCTGTGCACCTGTAGAATGGTGGTGAGAGGGGTCTTCTAGATACATCTGCAGCTTGGCCTCCAAGCATACAGTGAAAACACTCAGCCCACAGAAGTTGAAAACGGGGCCATTTCATAGAGCTCTGGAAGGAACCTGGGAACTCTTTGTTTTGGCAGCAAAACAGAATGAAATCTGTGCTTTCAGCTTCATCTTTCATTACTACTATTCCAGCAGACCGTTAAAGCTAAACTGAAAGAAGACTGAGGCAAACAATGCCATGAACCAGTTCTGCATTGGCCCAGGGGGAGCAGAGAATCTCACAGATCTTTTTCACCAATATTTTCTGCAGTTTTCATACAGGAAGACAGCTGGCACTTACTTCTGTGAAACATCACCCTGCTTTGTTACACCTTTTATGGGGCTGTCCTGGAGTGGGGGAGGTGGAAAAAAGGGCTCTCTAAAGGTTGAGCATCATCAGACAAAGGAGGACAACTTCATGATAAGATTGTTTGTTTAGTTGCTGTAATCATCCTCATTTAATTTGGGTTTGCCCTCATAGAACAACAAAACTCAATTCTGCAAACACATCTGTGCTGTAAGAATTTGATGGGATCTCTAGAGGAGCCTTGTATTTGCACTGGCAGGAAAAGCCCTCTTTAGCATTTAGTAATTCTTAATAGTAACCCTGGTGAGCAGTTACTAGCAAAATTCTTCACTGAATTGCCAACAAATTGCTGAGTCCCAGTAAAAAGTTGCTCACGATTCCAGCAGATGTTTCAATGTTTGGATTTTTTTTTTTTTTTTAGTTTTATGACAATTTTAATGACCTATGTTTTCCTTTCAACTGCTCTTCCCCTTTCCTTCCTCTGTCTGCTCCCTACCTCCACATCAGCCTCGGATTTATTTTTAAAAGCTGTTCGTTTTTGCACTGTGGGTTGCCACAGCAGCTACATAGATGCTGAAACATTTAAAAGCATGTGAATAGCCCAAATCCACGAATGGCTTCTGGCTGAGCTGGTCCAGACCCAAATCAAGCACAGACAGTTCACGGCATCTGCTCCCGCTGCGCTCACCCTGTGTGAGAACCATGCTGGTCTCAACCCTGATGTGGTCGGTGGCAATGTCCACTGAGGGCACATTTTGCCATCTTTTTCACCTCTCCCAGAAAGCAAAGGAATTGGGGGAGATCTGGAAGCGCCTTATCACATTCTGAGTTAAGCAATGGGATTACTGCTGAAACCGAAGTCAACCATTCCTTGGCACTAATGAACCAGTTCAAATTAAACTCTTGCAAGTGTGTCTTTGTACCACAAACTCTTCTAGTGTAGCGAGGGTTCAAAGGCCAAGGGACAGGGCACTCAGTACAAAGGCTTGTAATGCTGATTTTTTTTAGCCTGACCATACCTAACTTGGATGATCCCTTGGGCATACTGCAGGACTTACTTACTTCTTCAGACCATCCTGAAGTTTATCCTTCAGTAACTGTTTTGTTCTAGTTAGGGGGGTTTTTATTTATTTATTTAAAAGCTGAACTATTTTGGGGTGTATTATTAGATTTTTATGGATTGGATTCTCTGCTTGTTCTCACAGGTGGAAGGCAAATGGAAACTTGATCAGTCAAGAGAATCACACCCATTTGAGATGCTTGTAAAGGAGCAGAGAACAGTGCTTTGTATTGCTGGGGTGCCTACAGCTTCTATTAGAGGTTCTTTACTTATAGATACGTATTAGTCTAGCCTTGAGCAAGGCTGTGACCACAGTCCCACTTCTAAACCCAGTGGCAATTGACCCAGAAATGTCAGAACAAATCAAAGGACCATAAAAACAACCAGAGAAATAATCAAAGACCAGCACAGACCAGACCAATCAAGCAGATACTACCTTAAATTAGCCTTATTAAGTATGATGCTCACTGAGTCATGGCTGCCCAGTGCCTTCCAAAGGGGATCATCAACAGAGAAAAACTGTCCTGAAAGATCAGTCCTAGCATGAGAGACTCCTGATGCAAGAGAAATGGTTGACTGGGAGGATTTCTCAGGTATTTTATGTCCCACAATTAGAGCTAATTCCTAATGCAGTAAACAGGAGAAATGTTGCTGAAATATGTCATTTCCCTGTATGGCTTTTAAGCCTTTCTGTGAAATTTATCATTCAGCCTCCTTCCCATTTGCTGTGCAAAGATTTAGCAAACTCTGCATTTTATCACACACTTCTGCAGAATTATTCCATGTCCCTTAAAGAGAGAGGGTTGTGAAAACAGCAGGTAGCAAGCACAGGGCCATCTCTTTGATCGGCACCACAAACCTACTCAATTGAGGCTTGTTTTTATAGTGGATGCTGCTGGTTTAATTTCAAAGCCAAGGCCATGCCCTTTCCTCCTTAGCATACAGGATGGGACGCAGGTCTTGGTGACCTGAACACCCACTTAATACCCTATTAGTGTGTGGATACTCTACTTTTCTTCACACTTGGCCTCTCTGGGTGATTTCTCCTTCACTGACATTCAGGAGAATGCTGGCTGTGAAACAGAGAGAGAACATAGTCCTTTCCGCCCAACTCACTCCTCCAACAGAATTCATGGCTGATCTTCTTTACTAGTGCGAACAGGCTGGCTTCTGATCCCTCCAATATTGGTGAGGTCAAGACTGTCCTGGTGATGTTGATGGGGACATGAAGCAAGTGAGTCACACCCCCAAAGGATCGGACCAACGTGGCAATGTGCAGATCTGCAGGGACTCCTGGCTACCAGGTGTCAGCATCAAGACAAGCTGTGCTTTTAAGCTTTGTCAGAGGGATAAGACCAGCAATGCAAGCCACCATTTTGGAGAGGAAAGCCCTGCCAGTGACTCACTGTTTGTCCCATTTCCTCCACCTATTGTAGCAGAGTGGAGGCGGCTTGGAAAAGGGATAAATGAGAAGGATGAAAACAAGCAAGGAGGATAGATGGGATGCTGAAGAGCAGAGAGAACCAAAGCTTGGTGACAGCAACTGTGAGGGAAGAGGAAACGCAACAAGCTGGCTGTGTAGCAGCAAGGCAAGAGCATCCAGGCATCTCCCCTCTTTTGTAAGCCTCCTGCTCCAGGAAAAGCACATCTAAACATGGCTAGCTCTTCACGCTACATCCGGCTGCTGGCTCTAGCTTGTTGGCGTTCGGTCGAGGTCCCTGTGGAGGCTGTCCCCCGAGCAGGGAGGGGAGGTCCCCCCACGCTTGCTCAGTGCCAGAGCCCGGGCTGACTCACCGCGCCAGGATGTCAGTGCACGGCAGCCAGAACCAGCAGCCTCAGATGGCCGCTATCTCTCCTCTCTGCCAGACAAATAGGATATCCTCCGTGGCGCGCGGGAGCCCAGCTGGAGCTGCTCTGCACAGGATGCGCTCAGACATCCTGTGAGCGACTCGTCTTCGTGAACCCCCGTGCTCGCGGGCTGTGCCGGAGGCCATGTGGGTGCTGTTTATCCGCTCCGACACCCGCCGGGGCTCTCCAGCTGGGAGAAGGCCCTGCCGGATGGAGCGGCGGGGGCCAGGGAACTGCCTGGCTGGGCTCTGTTGTGGCATTTTCAAATGTAAACAGGCCCCTGCACAGGAAACCTCCACTGCTGATGAAGGAATGGGGCTTAGAGGGCCAGAGGCTCCTTGAACATGTCTGCAGAGCTAAAGCAGAGCTGCTCCTCTGTGGTCTCTCCTCTGCCCATTGAGATGAAGGTGACAGCCTGGGGTTCAATCCAACAATAATCCAGCAATAATGGGGCTCCTCAATAGCTAGGAGACCCACAGAGCTCTTAGGGCACAGACTGTTCTGAAGAAAAAAATCCACCTTAGACCTAACCTGATTTGCACCGAAAATTATCTCTGCTGGCTTTGATTAGGGTTCATGCCAGTGTGAAAGCAGAGCTTTTATTCCTGGGAAAATCTTGCCCCAGATGTCTAGGGACAACCCAGAGATCCTGAGCAGAAGATCCTTGAGCTAAATCCCAGCAGCCCACTGTTTTGGGGGCACCCTTCAGAGCCCAAATCAGGTCAAAAGTTAAAGAGTGAGCTTGTCAGAAATGCACTTGGAAGCATCAGGTATCAAACTTACAACTCTGTAGTAGACACAGACTGAGACTGAGGGCCTGGGAAACACAGAGGAGCTTAGGCTTTGGCCCTGAATCGCTGTGACCACGGGGAAGTCACTGTCTCTGTATAAAACTCCATTTCCCCGCTGCTGTGTCTTGAGACTGTAAGTGATGTGGGGCAGTGACTGCCTCACGCTGCACAGCAGGATCTTGGCCAGACAGTGTGACAGCTGGAAGCAACAACAAATATTTCCTTGCAGCTTTGTTGCAAACCCAGGAGAGACATGCCAGCTTCGGCGTGCTCCTTGTGCTGACAGCCCTTCAGTGAGGAGAAGCAAGATGGAGAGAGGAAATGGCTACAAGTAATTTCCAAGAAAAAAGGACAGAGAATGGTAGGGAAGTGGGGGCAAACAGAGATTCAGTTCTGTCCTTGTGACTTCAAGTCACTCGGGGTATTTATAGTCTGGAAAACTACTGTGGCCACTTAATCATTTGCACTTATTCTCTCTAGCACACAGGCTGTACTGCGATAACCCATCATTGTTGTGACTGTGCACTGATAATCTCTGGCACAATGGGAGGAAACACAAAGGCTAGGACGGAGCCGGTGACTGTGCCCAGTGGGACAGGCAGCAAATGCCCCCCATGTACAATGGGACAGGGCTGGGCCACCTCTGCCAGCCAGGCTTGAGGGAAGGGGTTCTTGGAGCAGAGGGGTCTGGGTGACAGTGGAAGTAATCCAGGGTCTCCAATTCCCTGGTATCTGTCCTCTTCTGCCAGATGTCCTCTCTCTACACCTCCCTCCCGCCCTCCACAAGCATGCTTGTAGCTGCTGGAAGGCACACAGCAGCAGCAAACCCAAGAGCTCACCTTAACATTTTGGGGAGAGCCCTGTCCTCATAGCTGGTAGGACTTAAAGGCAGCAACGAACACAGGAACCTCAAAGAAGCCACGCTCGCCTGGCCCACCAGCAGCACCTCAACCAAAACAGAGGTTCACATGGTTCTAGGTAGGCATGCAGGTAGCCTGATCCATCTACCCAGGCCTGAAGAAATGACTCACACGATCAATGAACTTTGCACAGGTCTAGTCACTAGTGCAATTCTGCTGAGTCTGCAAATCCCATGCTCAGCCAGAAGGGATTTAAGCAGGGAGCAAAAAAATACAGAAATAAAAGCATAGGTAGTTCCCAGTTTGGGTTTTCCATCCACATAACCCTGATAGGTGCTGCCCCTGCTGAAGCTTTTACGGGCCTGATTTTCTGCTGTCTTTTACATGGCTATTGCTTTCCCAGTGTGAGAGCAGAAGCAGACCCCCATGGTTTTTTTTTCCATGAAGGCAAAAAGTCAGTGCATTAACATGAAAACAGGATTACTACCAAGTAGCTCTCACAAACGTGGGAAAGGTGCCCAGGAGGCTGAGATCTTGGAAGGACCTTAAGAACTTCCTTGGGGTACTTAATGTTATTTACTTTCCAGTGGGAGAGCTGGAAAAAATACCAAACAAAGAGCTCCAACAACCTGACACCAGTCCGGGAGCTGCTCAAGCTACTGCAACTCCCTAAGCAATGGGAGGCACAGACAGAGGATTGTACTGCATCAGGAGGACCTAAGGAGCAGAAAGGCATCTCTGTTTGCAGGCAAGGCAAGGAATTGCACAGCAGGCTGCTCTGGAGCTATGTAGCCATTGCACATTTTAACCCCTTGATGGCTATTTTCCATGCGGAAAGCGTGTCTTTTAGAAGACATGAAGGATGCAGTGATGCAAAGCTGATCTACTACACCAGTGTGGGTTCAGTTTCAAAGCATCTGTGTTCTTAGATGGACTCTTCCCTTGTCAAGCATGGGAAGGTTATTCTCTGGTGCTACACATCTCATCACAGTCGGTTTTGATAACCCGACGTGATGCTTAACACGGGGCATTTAATTGACTGGAACTGTTAATTATAGTGAGACCAGCAAGTTTGCCCTCCTGAAGAGCTTCTCACCTGAGAAGCTTCATGCTCTTCACAAACTATCAATCCTTGCTTTGCTCCTGGAGTGACATTTAGCACTGGTTTACACACAGCTTGCCCCGTTCAGACTGACAGAAGAGTGTCAAAGAAATACAGAGAAGTTCCTGACTCCTCTTCCCTGGTTCTCTTTTGATGTTCTAGCTCTTCTCCATATCAACTCCTCATGGGTCTCTTTCACAGATTATCTAAGCCACAAAAAGATACCTCTAGGTCCCCATGCTAGTATGGTGAAGAGTGCTAAAGAACAGCTCTTTGGAGACTGGGACACCAGACAAATTCCAGCAACAGAGACGCAAGGCAGAGGTGCGCTCTGTGACGAAGCCACCCTGCCTCAACACTGCTGAGGGGCATCACCAATTCCCAGCCTCAGCTCCCCCAGTGAGCTGCACTGGCTGCCTGCTTCCTCGCTGCTGGCTGGGGGCTGCCTCGCAAACACGGCTGCCTAGGGATTAGCTGGGTGCCAAGGGGTGATTATGGCAGAAACTGTGAAGAAAGACCAGCTCTCAGCTGGAAAGTGAGAGGTTGGAGATGACATCCTGGGGCCAAAGAGGAAACGAGCAGCGGTTACGCGAGAGAGGGAAGCCGATGCCTGTGTTGTTTGTGGGGCAATATGCTGAGAGATGGACTGACACCTGGACAGACAGAAGGGCTAAAGGGAAGTGACTTCCACTTCTGCAGTGTAGCTTCTGGCTGCTCCCCATTATACCATGGCCACGACCCTTCCCACCATATTCTCTCCAGCTACAGGATGAAGGACCTACCTGATGACAGAAGACTCCCGCTGCTGCCGCTGATAATTTTGCCTTTACTCCCCATGTTGGCCAGCTTTGAGGTCTTGAGCGTTCCAGTTTCAGTCAGGTCAATCGCAATCTCACTCAGGCTTCTTGCAGCATGAATCTTGGACTGGACATGGACACAGCAGTTAGTAATGATCTAGCAATTCTTTAAAGCTCACAGCAGGAAAAAGTCCTTTTGCTGTGGCAGGAAACAGGCCTCCACAGCAAACTTGGATTATTTTACAGGAATAGAAGCAACCTGGCACAGTGTTCAATGCTGCACTTTTTACATTCTTAAGTGGGTGCAATTCTGGCATTGCTTCCTGTTGTTTGTTATTTTCTCTGCTTTGCCGTGGACATTTTTCCCTCTTAAACAAACTATGTATGGAATCACTGTGTTACCACATACAATAAGAAACCTTCAGAAATACCAGCATAATAAACCGCAAAGCCCAAATGCTAAAGACCACCTCTATCATCTAAAGGAAGCCGGGAGGGGCATTTTCAAATCTGCAGTGAGCTTTGGATCAAGACACAGTGAGGACATGGCTTAAGTGGGCTGTCATGAGAAGCTGGCAGAAAATACTGGCAGGGAAACATATTCAGGTTATGGTCCAGATGAAGAAGCCACACGCAATGCCCTTACTGTGAGGGACCTCTTCAGAGCGTGAACATCACTCCTGTAAGAAACAACAGCCAGCCTCAGCTCAGTAACTGCCTACACTAGGACACGAAGTCACCCGTTGTACACCACCAAATGTCAACAATCTAGGCTCCTCCTCGGGAAGGTAAATACGCGTACTGCATAAACCTATCTTAGAATGGAATGAGATGACTTTTTAAGAGGTCATCCTTCCTCCATTGGTTATGGAAGGATTTAAGACAACAAGATGCCCAGAAAGTTCAGATGACAGAACTCCAGAACTTTCTCTTTGTTGAGCAGTGAGCTCAGATGCAGTTATGCCCACAGAGCCAAGAAAGGCAGAAAACACTTAGGGCAAGGGGGTTAGCAGCACTGAGGAACAAAATGAGCACAGCAGCTGCTTACAGGGTTGGGCTCACTCAGTCCTAGTGACTGCCTTGCCTCTGCAATACAAACCTCACTGGTAGGAGCTCACCATCTATCTCCAGTCCACCCTCCTACCAGTCTCTAGTGAGTGTTTCACATGAACAAGAGGATTAAGAACACTGATCAAAGTTGCTAGGGATGCAGGCTTCAGTTATATCCCTAGCACTACCAGGAAGAAGAACCCTACATATGAGGGTGTCTTGGCTGGCCACAAAAATTTTTCAGTCTTTCTCAGTCCTTTTTCTGACCAGTATAGCCTTAGGATCACCTTAAAATAGCAACAACCCTCTCTAGTCCTCTATCTCATTTCTGATTCGGGTTATCTCCAAGCACTTCAGAAAAAAAATATAAGGAAACTTTTCATTAAGCCATTGTGGAATAATCTGTCCACATGGAAAATTTCCTCCTGCCTCTTCTGAACTAATGCTTATGCACTGATCTCTATTTTATGTATTGGTTGTTGGATTTGCTTCAGGTAACGAGCCATGCTAACGAGGAGAGAACTGACAACCAGGAGGAAGCTTGCTGTCTGTAACATGGTGCGCAAAGATGGATGCTATTTCATCTCTAACCTGGAAACAGGCTTCTTGCTCGCTGACCCTCACATGAGCTCCTCAGTCACAGATGGAGGGCACTTGGAGCTCAGTCCATTATCCAAATCTTGCAAGCCCTGTGCTGCAGATCTTCAATTATCCTGGCCTCACAGGGCCACTGACCTGCAGTTTTGATTTCCCAGAACCCAGAAATCAGTTGGCACATGGTGCCGAGGCTCGCCAGCTGCACAAGACTTTTGTTCCAGAAAGTGGTGAAGCCCCAATTCAGGATCACCTGAGCATTCACCTCTCAAGGCCTGAGGAGACTCTTAGTCATATAGTTCAGGCAATGGGCACATCATTACAGTGCTAACAAATCAGAAGCTGATTGGTGTCCACATACCAGGGTGTGCTCTGTTCCCAGTGGAGCTAACATGAGATGGGTCTACAAGGAACACTTGCCATGATAGGATTTTCAGTGTTATTTCACATCCTCAGGGAGCAGAACTAATTTTAACAACTAAGGCTGAATTGATGGCTGAATGTTCACCACACTGAGCTTCACTCTTAGCTCTGTTGCTGATTTGTTGTGGGGCTTTGGGTAAGACACTTAAGGTTAAGTTCTTAACGATCCCCTGCCTCTGTTTGAACATCAGTGAAATAATAAATGAAGTAAAATGTCTCCCTGTTGCACACTGTATTTTTAAGATTGATTTAAAACTGCAAATGAAGACAGCACTGGGAGACCCTTATACTGAAAACACCCTTAGAAGTATCATCATAATATAATATAATATTCTTGGGTATTTATAGGCTCCATCATTACCATTCAGAGGTACCCAAATGCCTCACAAGCTTATTACCACAACAACCCCAAGAACAGGGTGTGTGCACTCACTCATTTGAGTGCAGAGGCTGAACTACCTGCTCAGATGTCCGAGCAGATCAGGCAACCAGTACTGACCCTCTTAAACTAAAGCTACAACCAGTTAGACTCTTCTAATTTCCAGCAACTCCTCCCCAAAATCAGCCCCAGGAGAAGGATAGCACTCTTTTAAATTCTTGGATCTAACTTGGATATGAAGTTTCTGGTCAAAAACAAGGTCTGTGAAACATGTTCTCCAAATAGCTCTGGAAGGTTAGTTCTAGGTGAAGAGGAAAGTCACTGCTTTTATCTAATGAGATTTCCTGCTACTGAGGTCTTGATAAGGAGCCTGAGCATGAACTGCTGTCTTGCTGCAATGCCAGATCTTTGGAGGCAACAAATCTTCAGATTGCTGCTGTCCTGGTGATTTATCCCCTGCAGGTGTACATATGCTGGGTTATAACCTAACCCAGTTATAACCCACATATATATGGTTATCTATACCTTGTATAACCCCAGGAACAGCCACACTGATCAAACCTAGTATCTGCCTAACCCAATATACTGAGTCTTTGCAGCGGAAAGGTACAAACCCCAAGTCCGCACAGACAGATCCTGCCCCCCTGCTCTATGAGGCAGTGGTTTTCCTGTATTTGTAGGACAGCAAGAAACCCTGTAGTTTATTTCCACTCATATTCAGACTGCAAATTATGGCACACTCTGGCCCTACCTGTTTGACTAGGCACCAACTAAAATGCTGAGTGAAGGCAACGCAGCTGGATGCTGTTGTGGTCCTGGCCCGCATGCCAAGCCAGCAGCAACTGGAAGTATGCCCCACATAGGGCAAATGAAAATATAAGACCAAAGCCTGTCATCCCTGGAGCCAGGAGAGAGGAAAGACAAACCAGAAGAAAGCAGATAGGGGATCAGCAGGGCAGAGTGAGCTTCCTCCACAGAGGGTACAATCCAAACCTGCTGAAGCCATAAGAGAAGGTTTTAGATCTGATTGCAGTTGTGCTAACGGTGCCCTGCTCTGAACAGTGGGGATGGAGCATCTCCTGAAAGGAATGAAGTTAATTTTCCATGCTGTTCAATCCCTGCTGCCTCTGCTCCCCACAGCAATGCCAATCAGCGTCGGGTGGTCTTGTGCTTTGGACAGCCACTCATCAGCTGCAGGAATCAGACCAACAGCTCATTTCATACAGGCCACTGAGCAGCAGCCAGCGCAAGGCCTGAGCTAGACTCCGTACTGACAGCACAATAGTGGAAAGCTAGATTACATCCCATTAGTGCTCCCCTGGGCCCTGCAGTCCCTCCAGGCTCAAAAATGTTAAGGCACTTAGCGCAGACCTGCCAAGTCTCATTTACATGGAGGGAGACTAGCTCATTCATGAGTTATTTCAAAGCATGGGGCCAAACTGATCCCTGGTGTTGTTCTGACAGGGTCAGAGAGGGAAGAAAAGTCCATCAGTGAAATGCAAGAGTAGATGGACACTAGGGATGAATTTATCCCTCTTGCTTGCAGTGGTGGGGCTTTACTGCAGGTGATTTTTTGAAACCCTTGTCCTATTTTCTATCAGTTCATTCGGCAAAAAAGTCTTGTGCTTGGAGGAATGTGCTGTTGGAAATTTCCACAAAATGGGACTTCTTGAGGCTTCTAGGCCAAACGTTTAATTGACTCAGTGCAGCCAACAGAGCAAACACATGCCTTGAAGTCCTGCTGCATCTGTCTCCCGAAAAAAAGCGAAGCTGACAGGAGTTCTGCACGCTGACATATTCACTCGGAAAGCTGGGGATCTTTTCAGTCTCCACGTTACGCTTCGATTGCAGGGAGAGAGAGACAGATCAGCGGGGAGCGAGATGCTGGGAACTCGGTGAGCTGGCAGGAGTTCAACGTGGAGTGAGGCTGAAAAGAAGGCTGGGACCTCACTTCCTTGCAAAAGGCTCAAAATCCAGGCAAATCTGATTTTATTTCTTTTTAAAATCACGTGAAGAGGGTTTTCCAGTGAGGCTGTGCAAAAGGTCCAGATCCAACTGGTGCCCAGTTGTGTGAGGAACACAGAGTTCAAGCTTGTTTTATCACTGTGTCATATCTCCTCCTGCCATCTAATCTACATCACTGGAGTGAAGGCTCAGCTGCACAGCAGGCTTTTTCTTCTAAGTTTGTTTTTATTTTTCTTTCTTTTGTCAAAACGATATGAAATGCCAAGTTTGGACATGAAAGAAAGGAATATCTTGGTTTTGCTTTGAAGTCGGGGATTCAACTGAAGTGGGGGCTGAGATTTGAGGGGATGCAAACCCATGCGACCTGAAACTCAAATAAATGTTTGTCTAAGCCCTTGACAGCTGAAACGAAGACATTTCACATTGCCCCACTCTGGAATATGTTTTAGTGGTTTTCGGAAGTGAAGCGCACATGAGTACAGCGTCCTGAAGTGACCAGCAGGATGAATTCAACAGATCAATTAAAACTGATGGATCTATCAATCTTGACAGTGTCACGTCAAAGATGAGGACAACAGACTAAAATACCAGCTCCCTTAAGAGAAAGAGACAAAAATATTTGTATGCCTTAACTTCAAAGCCTCAGCACGACCACCGGGATTCCTGTGACAAAGCACACTGACATGGTCGCAGACGTGACAGGTTGACAAACGAGGGCTGGTGGGTGGTGCTGTCTGTAGGGAGTGTGAGAGAGGGGAGATCAGATTGAAACACAATCTGCCAACAACAAAAGAAGTCACTGAAGGGGAGTCCTGGGCATTTAAGAGACCCAGTTTCTTACCAAAGAAATGGGAGGAGGTGGGAATCTCCTTTTATTTGTTGGTTGCTTGTGACCTAAATACCTTGCAGCTATATCAGCAAATCCATCTGGCTAGAAGTAAAAAAAAAAAAAGCTTCTGTTTGTTTGCCGAGCTGTTTTTTTTGAGAGGGTTATGCATTGCCCTGGTGGTGCTAAGCAGACGTGGGGGACAGGAAAGCATTACTTGGTATTGGGTGAGCATGCAACCTTGTCCATATTCACAGCTGGCACTTAGGGGTGGGAAGTTAGCTACACCCCTAAATTCAATACAGCTCACAGCAACTAAGATGAATCCTGCTTTTCTGCATTAGATGGTACATGGCCAAAGTAAGTGTAACCATGTGTTCTGCTCAAGGCATCTGAAAGTCCCACCCACTCTACAGTAAAGTCACAGAGAGAACATGATGGGGAAAGCAATGTCAGAAGAGTTTAGAGTGAGCTGGACTAATAGCACACTGATGGCCCTTCACATATTTCAGCAAGCCAATTCAATTCATTTAACTGGCAGAAAAATAATGCAGCAAAGACAAACAGGAAAAATAAATATTTTTCTGCCAGTTTAGTGGGCTGAACTGGCTCATAAAGCGACCTGACAGGGCCAGGGCCTGTGCAAGGGAGGGAGCAGCCCCTGCCTGAAAATGCGGGCAGTGCTTTCAGCAATAGCAAGATGTTAATATTGGTTCAGCCATTTGGAAGAGTATCACCCTGCACATTCCTGCCATCTCACTAGAGATGGGGGGCAATGCTGGCATCTGTATAAGAAGGTACCCCACTCAATACAGACTCTATCTTCTCTGTCAAGAGAAGACGCTGGTTTACCCCAGCATGCTCGTATGGAGAGGGGTGTCTGCATGAGAAGTCTCTCTTCTGTCTCAAAGTGATCTCAAAGTGATCAAAGCAATCTCCTGCTGCTCTGGGTATGCCTAAAATTACTGTTGATGAAAGGAATTAGAGGGACAACACACACTCCTCTGGTTTCAAGGTGATTTCTTCTGTGTATTGAGTGGCCCTTTGTGCAGCACCAGATCAAGACAGTTCCTTGTAAGACAAGACTGTCAGCATCCTGCCCCCCTCCTTCTGTCATGAGATTCTCTGTGGAGAGAGAAATAATATCCCTACCCCTCATTTTTAGGAACATATGACAGTAAAAAGCAAGGGACATCAAGAAGGATTCAGAAAGAGGTGTAGAGTGTGAAGTTACTTTGGACTCAGGTATTGGAAGCTGCCCTAACTTTATGACAGAGTTCAAGAACCAGAAGACATGTGGAAACCATCCAGACAGGGATACGACCCTATCTGCTTGCAAACTTTGGCTCCTCCAATTTGGCCACAGTTCAGTACAACCTTTCCTTCAATCCTCACTCCTATAGACATGAATTCAATACAAATTCCCTCAATCTAGGCAAAGCCAGCAGATATTTTTAGTCAATTTACCTTTTTCTGATCTCAGGTGGAAAGGGAGGGCAGGAAAGGAGCCACCATCTGGACTTGACCTTGCTAGGATTGTGGGGAGCGAGGACTCACCCACTACAACACGCACTTCCCACCTCCGACATGCTTACCTTGCTTTGCTTTCTGTCCAGGTAGAACTGATGTTGACTAATGGCCATAGCCCAGATAGACTTTATTAGTGCTGGACAGGCGTACCACGTATGCACAGCGATGCCACTATGCCCAAAAGTCCTCCTGGTCACAGATGCCCTGGAGTGGAGGAAAGAATAGACTGGGGTTACACCAAAGTTTCCTTGGATTGTTTTCTGTGGCAGAACTTATCACAGACCTCACAATAAAAGCTGGTGTCTTTGCTGCACACACCCTTGTGCTAATGGGAAAAGATGCTTAGAGAGCAGCAATAAATAGCTAATCAAGCCAGAAGAGTGTTTACTTTAATAACTCCTCAAGTTAGCAAGCTCCAGAGGACTAACAGTAAAGATCATCCAGTTTGTCCAGTTCAGACTGTATTGCTGGATTTGGCTGAGCTGATGCTGACCTGCTACCTGTCCCAGGGGAGTCACCAGTGCCAAAGCATGTGTGAATCCTCTGTGTCTCACCACATGCTGAGACACCTGAGGCCAAGTCCTCACACGCTCCACTATCTCTGGCTTTGGACAGTGGCTCTAAAAATATTAGGATCCAGATGACAACTAAAGATCCACAGGATCAGTGGCTACTGTAGAGAATGTGGGAGAAACTCTTCAGGTACTTTGATTTCCCCACTTGTAAACAGATGTAGCTGGACATGCCACGTGCTATGGGAAAGGGGAGTTGTGAGGCTCAGGGAGAGCTGCCTAGTGCCCTGGAGGGAAGAATGTTACTCAGCGATCAGCTGAATGAATATAAAACCAGGAAAAATAAGAGCTAAGTATTTCCTCTCTGGGACTCCCAATTGTCCTCAAATATTAGCAAAAAACACAGGTTAGGTTTCCCCATGCTTTCACAGCTGTACAAAATTGCTTGATTATTCCTCCCCACCTCTCAACCCTAACCCCATCAGCACACCAGCGCACACCGGCTCACAGCGTCCTGGTCCGCAGAACTCCTCCCACTGCAGGGATGTAGCACTGGCTGGAGTAAACCAAGCCACTGACCTACAAGAGCCCCAAATAAATGAGGTCCTCCTCTCCAGCCTGTTAAGAAGAGCCTTGTGGTACCTCAGAAACACGACACTTCTGTTACAGCCCTTCACACAGGGATGTGGATGGTGAAGAGGGGCCAATGCAAGAGACAGCCAGGGGAGCAAGGTGTGCTGCTGAGGGGCTGCCACAATCCACAGCCAGCAGGCACTCTGTGCAATGCAGATGTGGAGGTGACACCCCAGGACAGCCCAGGAGCTCTACTGGGCAGTGCAAGGGATGGTTGACTCTTTTTACCAGCACTCAGAAGTCCTCAAGCCTGCTAAGGCAGTGGTTCCCCTCCTGAACTGCACTGGCCACCTCTCCTCTGATGCCTGTGGACTACTGCTCTGTCCAAAACTGGAGGTGAATGTGAGGAGGGGAGATACACAGTCAAAGAAAGTTGTGACAGAGCCAAGAATGAAAGAAGAAAATCTCTGCAGAAAAATAGGAACTGCTGGTCAGGTTCAGCCTGGGAGAGGGCTGACAGCTCTTGTGCCAGGGCCTTTTCAGTGCCGCAAAATGTGTTAAAGTCAAATTGTGAAGCTACAAAATAGAGTGAAATTTCTCTGAGAAAACAGCCATGGCCAATGCATACGAGGTCTGAGACAACTGGGATCTCATGTTTCAGTGTTACCCTGTGCTGAGTCCTTGCCATGTGACTGAAGCAGAAGACCTTGGCCCATTATGAGTAATGTTCTTGTGAGAAAACTCTCCACGGACGCAACAGGACGGTGGCTGATGGTCCTAATGAGGATGGGTGCTGGGCTGACTCATCCCTGTCACTGGACAGGGAATGGAGGCTGTGCTGGGAGGTGCTCCTGAAGGTGAGGCTGGAGAGGGGATGCAACTCTGGATGCTTTATGTTGGTTTAAGGGACACAAACCACTGTACTACATTGGCATATAAGGCTCTAAGGCGTTAAGGCACTCAAATACAGGCTAAAGTCTTAACTCTGGTATCTTCCTAATCAGTTCAAACACAGTTACTCGTTTTGAACTCTCAGAAGCATATTCTGCAAGCCATTCATCTTCTCATCTTAAAAGCAGTGATTTCCTTTTTTTTTTTTTTTTTCCTTTCTTGGATCTGTACGTGTTTCCCATCAAAACTGCAGACCCCGACAGAAAGTCTGCAGACTTAGCTGGTCAGACCTGTGGGCTTGCTTTTCACATCTGTGAGAGATGGTCCACGGGTGTTTTTTCCATGACTTGCCTCCATACGTGCTACATGCACTGTGGAATTAACCCTACTGATACCCCCTAAAATGTATAGTTCCCCTCCTTTACAGGGTAAGTAACCACGATGAAGAGAGGTTAAATGGCTTGTTCGGGACAGGAAGCCACGGGCAGAAGCAGGGCTTAAAAATCATACATTGTGCTGCTCAGCCCTGGCCACAACCACGGAGCTGTGCTTACTCTCCTGCGACTGTGGCTTCGCTGACTCAGGCTCTGGTTTGGCTACGCAGAGAGGAATGTGGAGGGAGCACTGTGTTGGCTACTCCTCCGCCTCCACACGCCGAGCAACTCCTCACAGGAGTCCGTCCCACTTGGCCGGGAGATTACAGCCCGAGCTGTGTCCCTACCATGCCACTGCAACGCGTGCTGCTGCTTTACACCCAGAGTACCAGTTCCACCTGGATGGTGGTACTCTCTAGATATAAAAATCAGCCAAATTAATTCCCTTACAGTGAGAAAGTACCAGGCTGACAAGCTGGGACAAGGTTTTGTCCTCCTGACGTCAATTTGGAGAAAAATAAAATAAATAGAATAAAATAAAATAAATAGAATAAAAATCGGAAGCTCTTCTGTCTCAGTAATTCCTATCATCTAATTACAAATGAGACAGAAGAGGTCCCTCTGTGTGGTCACTTTTCATGCACCACATTGAGCTGCAAATAGCATCATCATTTTAACATCCCAGAGAGATTTTCTTTCTTTCCCTTGCAATTGATGCTTCCAGGAAATGTCCAGCCTGGGCTTTTAGGGGCTTCTCGCTGCTGGTTGCTTGCAGCATGCGGTTCTGACGCCTTGCCTGCTGCTGGAGACTCGGTGGGGGAAGGAGTACACACCCCCCCCCCCCAGCTCCTGCTGCTGGAAGATCTCCCAGCGCATTCTCAACTTTGGGAATTTGCTAGATTTCATGAGACTATTTACATGCTTAATATTAAGCAGATGTTTTAAGGCTGTCATGACCTGGACCTGCATAATGACACGAGCTGCTCGACTCAGTTTTTGCTTTAACAAAATGCACCTATGGAGACATGCACTGTTGTATTGGTGTGACCATGTTCCTATCAGGGCAAATAAGCACCAAAACTGCATGCAAAATTCCTCTAATAAAAGTACATATATTAGTACACAGATAGGCACGGGAAACAGGTGAAACAGGATCACAGCTGAGTGATCAGCAAAACACGCTACTACCAGCAGCACATCAGATCAGTCCGGGAAGAGAGCGGGTTTCCATCAGCCGTATTCATACTTACTTTGCAAGTGGGATATTGCTTTTAGCGAGAGCAACTTACAGAGCGACAGACACACTAGTCACTGTCTGCAGTAACCATCCACTAGTGCAAATGAGCAAGAGGTGCAGAATGCAGTGATTAGATGCAGCACAGTCACTTGAACTCTCCCACATCAGGTCTCTAAAGTAGGAAAAAAAGACTCCCATGCCAAAAAGACTTATGGGCTTTCATCCAGAGAGCCGGTAAACCTTTGGTACCGTGCCATTCCTTTCAGTTGCACTACTGAATATTTATTTACAAGCAAGCGTGTGAGTACAAAATCTGGCGCCCATCTCCCGGCTCCAAGTGCAACAAGGGACCAAGGCAACCCCCCCTTCACGCAGGGGGGTTGCCGGCACCGCAGCTGGGGCACCGGAGCTGCACAGCCCCGGGGGTCAGAAGGTGCCAAAACAGAGGGAAGGGAAAAAAAAAAAAAAAAATGCCGCTAGGAGCCGAGGGGAAACACATTCTCAAAAACACCCACCCGAGCCCCAAATGCGCCGCTGGAAGAAAGCAGCAGCCTTCGTCTTGGCACCCACTGTCCCTGGCTTATGGGTTCCCCAGTTACCAAGCGTAGCAAGCCCCGCAGAGCGGCGGGGGGCGCGCGCCTCGCCACCACCCGGCTCGGCGTTGCAAAGCCCGGCTCGGCACTGCAAAGCCCGGCTCGGCACTGCAAAGCCCGGCTCGGCACGTCTCGGCGCTCACCTGCGCGGGTCATGCACCTCCACCGAGAACTTCTTCTCGCGGAAATAGAGGTTCTCCAGCTGCCTCCATTGGAAGATCTGCGGGGAGAAGAAGGGGATGAGGCGCCTCCGCGCAAACCCTCGCCCAACCCCGCCTGCCGCGCCGCTTCCTCCCGGCGCTGCGACGGGGGCTGCCCCGCTCCGCTCCGCTCCGCTCCGCCCCGGCCCGGCCCCGCGTCCCGCCCGCGCCCCCCGCCCAGGCCCACGGGGCAGCCCCGGGGGCGGCGGCTCCCTCCGCCCGGCCCCGATGCGGGCGGCGAGCTCGGTGCTTCTGGCGGGGGGGGGGGGGGGCGCCGGTTTCACTTTGCGGGGCGAAATAGGGTTTAAATACGCTCCGGGGTTCGGGTGTTTTTTCCTCGGAGGGCTGGCAGCGGGGGTGTACTGGCCGCGGGCACTGGAGCCGCTCCCTCGGGCAAGGTGTGCAGCGCCGGCTTCGGTGGCCTGGCTGGCTGTGTAAGACCCCCGTGGGGGCAACTTCAGAAGTGCGGGACCCAGCCCTGCTTTTACCCCCACAATCGACATAAAACTCGCTGGAGCAAAAGCCGAGCAGAGTCAGTTTTATCTATCCCAGGCGCTGGCAGGCTCGTGTTGGCGAAGCTCAAGGCTCCAGCGTGCTCCCGGCAGCGTGAAGCGCAGCAGTAAGCACGTCACATTCCTGCCTCTGTTTTCCAGGCTGCCCTGTTGGGGCATCTCAAAGCAGCATGCAGAGAAAGCCAAAGGGGGAAACCGAGGCACGAAGCAGCTGTGGGAGTGAAATGCAGGTTTGCCGGGTGCTGGCTGCGTGCCCTCTGCCCTGTCAGCGTGGGCCAGCCCCCGGGGGGGTGTCTGCCTGCCCGCCGAGCGTACGTGCTCCTGGGCAGCGGGATGCGCTCGCACGGCCCCTGTACCCCACACCGCTGCCGTGAAATAACCCTCCATCTCCCAGGCGGGAGGGAGGACTGACCACAGACGCAGCACGAAGGACGCGGTGACTGCGAAACGGCGTGGCAGCTCTGCAAACCACCGCACCGTCACCGCCGCGGGCAGGTCCACCTCCGCCTCCTCTTTACAAATGAGTAAACCGAAAGCTAAACTCTGGCTTCCCGGCTGCTAATTCACAGGGAGGAGGCAGCTACCACCCCCCTGGGCATCTCGCACTTCCCTGCGCTGCCCCTAGCAAGCAGGGGAGCTTGAGGAGCGTAACCCCGCTGCTCGGGAGCAGAGCCAGCAGCGCTTTCGCTGATTTATATTCCTTCTCCCACTCCAAGCAGCTTCTGTGGAGTTCCTGTCCTACCCCCAAGGAAGGCGCTGGCTCCTGCCATGCCGAGATAAGCCGCTTGCCAGTGTCAGTGCTCTGGAGATAAGTAAACAGGAGGCATAGTTTGATTTGCACTGATTAAGCTGCTGGTGGAGGTGAAATCTAGAAAATAAACCACAGCGAGGACCCAAAATTTTTTCCCCGCAAAACTGAAAATACTTGTGTTTGTAAAAGTTTCCAAGCAAGAGTTGTGTTTTTTTTTCCAGGGTCGGTGGGGTGGTTATTTTTTTCTTTTTTTTTCTTTCTATAACGGGGTGTTTGGAAGGCAGGGTGGGGTAAGGAGGGCACTGAGCTGCCCTGTGCTCTGGGACTGTCCACACCGCAGGAGAGTAGGGGAGGAAGGGGGCCAGGAGGGATATGAAGCTTGAAGGACTGGGTTACACTGTCCTTAGAGGATTATCTTTTTCCTTCACTGGCATAATGAATTGCTGCATAAAAGTTGTAATCGCCAAACAAAGCACAGAATACCCACTATTTTACCCACCTAGGGAGGACAGACACGGGGTGAAAGCGTTAAGTCAGGAGCTGAGGTCTGAACGTGAAGCCTGTCTCCCCTGCAAGCTCCCAGCACTGCAGCCAAGCTTCAAAGACACAAAAAGGAAGTTTGGGGCCTAAATTCCCACCAACAACTGGGGTCAAGCCTGAGACTGCCATGTGGGCTGCTGAAACATCCCTCCATGCTTCCAGATGCCCGTCCGCAAGGCGGGGAGGGTAACGCGGCCGCGCTGCACAGCATGTGCAGAGGACGTGTTTGGGAGGCGCTCAGACATGTGGAACACATAAGAGTCTAAAAAACCAGCAGATCACACCCTTCAGAAAATAACCCTCTGTCCCCGGGTCCCCTGTTGTCATTTATGACTAAGCTCCGGCGTGGCGCAGAAGGAATTTGAAACCCTTTTCCGAGCTGCTGGCAGCTGCTCTCCTTGGACGCTCTCCTCCTCATCCTCCTCCCTCGGACTCTGCCGCACTGTCCCCCGTGCTCCAATCCTTTCCCGATTTTGTCCTCCCTGCTACCCAACCTAACAGTGCTCAGTTCGTTAACTGCAGTTCCGTTTCCCTTGCATGATTAACTCCAACTGTCCAAACACACAGGGCTCTGGGGGAGCTGTTCAGATGCACGAACGTAGGCGTCAGGTGCCATTTTCCGTGCCCCGGGGTACCTTGCCTGGCCCCCGGCTGCTGCCCCAGCAGGGAAGGAGGGAGCCTGGCGTAGGCCCGGTGCTGTATCTGCCAGCCCCACGCAGACGTCTTGGATCCCCAGCAGTGCCTAAAACGGAATTAGACACCTACGTTTTGGGCACCGGAGCAGCCCCCCAGATTGCTGCATTTTTATATTCAGTTTCTTTGTTTTTCTTGGCAGGGTGTGGAAGGAGGCCAAATCCAGACTCTTGGGAGGAAGAGGGTGAAAGCGACCCCCCCCAATCTGAGTTTGTGTCTTTTTTTTTTCCATAGCCCTGCTCTCCAGAATGTACACGTGTGTTTTACCATTGCTGGAACTGCACTCCCTTTGCTCCCCAAATACTATTCCGCAGTCTCCGACTCCTTTTGCCCACATTGATCTGAGAGGTCTCACTCCTCCTATACATAAGGAATCCAATCTGCAAAAATGTGAATGCCCACAAGAAAGTATCCACTTTCCTGTTAGCTGATCACAGCCCCTCAGGAGAAACAAAGCCTAAGATCTCCCTTCAGCCAGACCTCCTAATGTAAGCAAGCTGTTCGCTTCACCAGTTGCCCAGTTTACGTATGGTTTCAGATGGGTGTTGTTAATTCAGTGACAGATGCACAAGGTGCCGTTAGTAGGTCTTCTTAAATGGAAGCATAATTTTTACCCATCAATATCCTCTTACCACGCTGGTGCTTGCAACCTTCACTGGGGAATACGAGCCACAGCAGGGAGCAGGTCGTAATTTCAACAGTCTTGCAGAAATGCAGCGACAACAGATGCGTGCTGGTTTTTGGGCTAGTTTGAGTCAAAGCATCTATGTTCATAGCAGATTTGCCTCTTCCTACTCCGAAGCTGGGTCTGATTTGGGGTTATTTGGCTTATGATCATCTTTGGTTGATTTGCAGGGCTGAATCTGGTGCCTGCCCTTGTGGGTGGGACAAGTCGTATTGGCTTTACTGGAGTTGTATTAGGGGCACAGTGATTTTTGCCAGACAAAAGGTACCTCACAGCAGGGACTGGGACAGCATCTCCCCAGACATGCTGGAAATGAGGCTTAGGAGAATAAAGTACCTCAGTAATACAAGCTGCAAGCACAGTTCCCCTTCCCTTTAGTAGCTGCCTTCACTCGGAGCCCACAGACAAGGGGACAATTAGTGGTGCATGCGGCAGCCTGAGTTTCTGTGATGTGGTGGTTTGCCCACTGGGATCTCTTCTGAGGTCAGCAGCCCATTTTGGATCATGAAGCATTGGACAGCTTTCAGATGGGAACAATTTTTGGTAGTGGCCATCATTGCAGGCTGCACATGAGATCATTTAATCTTCAATAGATATTTAAGGAGGTCTCCCTGAGACTGGCGTTTGAGCACAGCTGCACGCTCACGCTTGCAATGTGAAAGGGGAAGGGGCTACTAAAAGAGGAGAAAAGAATTACCCTTATTTCCTCCTCCTCTGAGGGGGGACTGTTCCCACTGTGGGCTCTGTTTCATTGTGCCAGTAAAACTGGAACCTACACTATCACTTGAATTTTACAAAACTGCTTATCAGCCCAGAAACATTCAAGGGAATAATTGTTCCCTATCGGACCATGTGTCCTGTGGGTGGGTGGGTAGGCTATGGTGGAGAAGCCAGCGCCAGAAATAGCTTTTCTGCAAAGCTGGCAGCCTAGAAGAGGAGCCAGGGGAGAGATCTGAGTGCTGCACGGTGTGCTGGGGAGAATTCAGGTGCAAGATACAGGAATTTTCTCATTGGAAACCCCTTCCAAGAGGCAGGCACGCTTGCCAGGCACCAGATGTTTGTGACTAGTTACAAAGAGCTGCAGTCAAAGCCCTTCAGACGCAAGCTTCTTTTGTGAGCACACTTGTGGTTTGCTGGCTGCTTCCTAATTAAGCTGAGCCTGGAGGAGAGGAGGCCCAGGGATCTGCATCCGTTTCAGCCATGTGAGTCTGAAGAAGGTTTTTACCATTTTTATTGACTGTGGGGCTGGTACTGTGGAGTTTGCACACGGCAGGAGGTAGGGTCAGCATAAGAGCATTTGAAAAATGCGAGAGGCTCCTGATAAAGAAAGGAGGGTGTTTTGTGAATGAAACATAGGGGAGTGTTTCTGGCTTGGTCACTCATGTCCTGGGTGACCTGGACTTCACTGTGGTGTGGGGAGCTGAGTTAATCTATGTCAGACACTGGGCCGTGCTCTGTCCCTCTCTGCTCAGGAAGCCTTGCCTGACTATCCAGTGGAGGGACCATGCCAAACATTTGGGAACCCTTGGCAGTAATGAGGCTGTTGCTGGCTCCAGTGTTGCCCTGCATCTCAAGGACAGGACAGAGAAGGCTGCTGAAGGGCAGCACTGGTGGTTGGTGCACAGTTCTCTCTGAATTATGGTACCTAGTGAAACATGGCCAAATAGTACCTTTTGGAATAATTCTCAGGCTTCTCTATCCTGAGGTTGGGGTACTGGGTCCCTGATACTGTCTTCTGCTTGCTGTGCCCAGAAGAGCTGGGCTTGGCACTGAACTGGGCAGTGTGCACTGAGCTGGGTAGCCCTGTGAGGACAATGTGACTGTTTTGCATTGGGTCTA